GAAACGAGAGCAAAACTATATATATATATAATATAAATATGTATATATATATATATATATATATAGGAAATGGACAGATTTAGTTATTTATTTTTAATGTTTTTACTAGTATATAATAGTTGCATGGGGAGTTTCACTGTGACATTTCTATTTATGCACTATACCCCAGTTTGGCTCATCCCTCCATTATTCTCCCTCTTCCCCTAACTCCTTCTTAAAATGACTTTAACAGGTTTCATCATTCCATATTCAAATATATGTAGAAAATATATCAACCGTATCCACCCTCCTTTACCCTCTTCATTTAAACTTCCCCTCCCACAAGTGCCCCCTCATTAACATGACCTAGTTACATTTCTGTCCTTCATTGTTTATAACCCAAAAGATTTACAAGTTTTTATAACTTTATTAATTTATAAATGACCAAAAATTACATGAAATGATTCTTGATATTACAAGTAGTCTAAGAAATGTATGTTAAGTTGATAAGGTGGTATATTTTTAATCAATAAGATTGATAACAATAAAGTCCCTACAATGTCCAGTTTTGACAAGCTTTGGAAAATTTAGTTGTTAGAATTTTTTGAACAATTTCTCATTGCTAGGTACTATGCTAAATATTTTACATGTCTTATTCCCTTCTATCCATCTCATACCTTGAATCCTAAATTTCTAAATTCTAAAGTACTCTCGTTTTGATAAATGTTCTGGATCGCACAGATGACTAAGACCTTGCCCACCATTGCACTGTAAGGAAAGAGTAGAGCAGAACTTGCAACTTCAAACACGCAAAACACCTTCTAAGGGGCAAGAAGGGTGAAGAGAAAACTGGATAGATAAATAGGCTGGGCTTTTTCATTGTCAGATTAGTACAGGATCAAATATGTTTGTTAGCATTTAAGAGCAATTAATGGTGGAACAAAATTCATATCCAGAACTTTCTAGATAAGAGGCGGGATAAACAGGAACTTAGAGAAAGGAACAGAGAAAACAAGGTCAGTGTAGAAAAGAAAAAATGCAAAACCACAGGAAAGTTTAAAAAAACTAAAACAAAGTGATGGCAGGAAATGGATGGCCTGTACTAGGTACTTACATTCCTACCTCAAGAAAAACATTTGCAGGCCACGTATAGGAAAAAATACAATACTGCTTTTTAAAAAAGAGGCTTCTTATAAGCAGATAATAGAATTTAGTCAAAATGTACCTAAGAAATGCAAATGAAAAAAAAGTGGGGTGCAGGAATATATCTTACAAAGAATGTTTTGAGGCAAAATGCATAAAATAGGACCAAGTCAGATTCATTATTATATTTTTAAGAACGAAAGACAATTGTGGAAGGTTTCTGACAAAACCCACAGGCAACCAGCATGGCGGGATCTGAGGAAGGAGGAAAAGCAAGAACAGGAATGTCCCGGGGTTGGGGTGGGGGGGAAGCAGACATTCTTACCCCTTGTTATCACGCAGCTGGGCTGCATTGTTCTTTTGTCCTTGCAAATCAAGTTCTGCTTTTTCTTTTTTTTTTTTTTTTCATTTTTCTTTTATTATTCATATGTGCATACAAGGCTTGGTTCATTTCTCCCCCCTGCCCCCACCCCCTCCCTTACCACCCACTCCACCCCCTCCCGCTCCCCCCCCTCAATACCCAGCAGAAACTATTTTGCCCTTATCTCTAATTTTGTTGTAGAGAGAGTATAAGCAATAATAGGAAGGAACAAGGGGTTTTGCTGGTTGAGATAAGGATAGCTATACAGGGCATTGACTCACATCGATTTCCTGTGCGTGGGTGTTACCTTCTAGGTTAATTCTTTTTGATCTCACCTTTTCTCTAGTACCTGTTCCCCTTTTCCTATTGGCCTCAGTTGCTTTAAGGTATCTGCTTTAGTTTCTCTGCGTTAAGGGCAACAAATGCTATCTAGTTTTTTAGGTGTCTTACCTATCCTCACCCCTCCCTTGTGTGCTCTCGCTTTTATCATGTGCTCATAGTCCAATCCCCTTGTTGTGTTTGCCCTTGATCTAATGTCCACATATGAGGGAGAACATACGATTTTTGGTTTTTTGAGCCAGGCTAACCTCACTCAGAATGATGTTCTCCAATTCCATCCATTTACCAGCGAATGATAACATTTCGTTCTTCTTCATGGCTGCATAAAATTCCATTGTGTACAGCAATACCACTCTTGGGGATATATCCAAGTTCTGCTTTTTCATACAGTGTTAAGGACCACACTCAGGTCCCAGGGTGACAAGAATTCTACATATAAACAGCCAGCAAGGATCCCAAGAGGAACATTTGAGCTTGATGCAAGTATGTCACATGAAATTTATAAGGCTTCTGACACTGGAGAATATTGCTGCAAAATAAATGAAGCGAAAGGCAAAGAAAATTGTAAAATGTGTACATCTCCATGAGAGTAATTGAATGAACAGACACATGCATTAATGAGACAGCCAGAACAGCATTTATTATTTAAGCTCACACTCCAGAGATTTACTCAGGTCCTACTACTCATCAACAGTGTGAATTTGGGAAAGTTATTTCAACTCTAGACCTCACTTTTCCCATCTGTACAGTGGCATTGATTATAAAAGTGCCTAGTTTATAGGATTATCATGTGGATTAATGTTGTGAGGATGGAGGTTTAGTTCAGTGAGAGAACATTTGCTAGTACATGTGAGGATTTGATTCCTAGCACCCACTCCCCTTAAAAAAAGCAAAATACAAAAACACTTTTAAGTGTACTTCACACACAGTAGAAGCTGTGAGTAACCTGGTTGCTAAAGAAATACATTTATTGCAAAATTGGTGCCATTCCATTTTTGAAATCCTATGGAATTATTATTTTTGGAAGTACTAAGGATTGGGAACTATTTTTTTAATTGGCAAGCTGGTTTTAAAAGTTATTTAGAAGAGTTTAATGTAGTTTCATGTAGTTTAATCAAGAAAATGTTGAAAGTAAAGCCAAAGAGAGTGAGTTTGCTCTGTTACAATGTCACAGAGATTACATAGCATGTTAAATGTGAAAGAACTGGCCAACATATGGAACAAAAAGAACAAAGCTCAGAACGTACGGTCAACTAGAGCCAGAACTCAAACTCTGAGACACAAAGTTCTTCTAGGAACTAAGAAGTTTCCTAAACTATATTTTCTGTGCACCTAGTATGAGCCATGTTACTAAATGTGATTAATTTGCACGTTCTACAGATGACAGTGGACATAACAAAAACAATCAGAAATCTTTTGTTGTTGTCTCGTGGTTAATGAGTTCAGTCCTGCTACAAAATTGCTTGCTAAGAAATCTCTGGATCTCATAGAATTAGTGAAAGAATAAATACGATTAAATAAATATCGAAGCAATATTCAGTACGGGTGATGCCTTGGCTTCTACACACAGGAGATGCTCAAACAACTCAAACAATAAAAAAATGGTAGCTATTATCTGTTCTAAATGTTTCTCTAACAACACAGCAAAGAAGGACATCCTAAAAGTCAGTGGCTGCCTACAGAAAGGGTAGTTTGTTTCTGGGGACCTATTGCAAAAACAACAAGTCTTGTGGAATACATGTGTACATATATGACATTGCTCTAAAAATTCTATTTTTTACCTCAAGAAAGATGCTGCTATTTGCATGCATGCAAATGCAGCTGAGATGCAGATGAAAATGCAGAGTTTACTTTCTGTGGAATGTTTTTGAGATACTTTCTCCTCCAATTTGCATGTTTACTCCTATCATAAAAATTCTTTTCTCCTCTGCTTTGTTCTGCCTTCCCTGAATTTGCTTTTTACCTATCTTTGTTTGAGAGACCTTGTTGAGGGTCAACTCTCTGGTGACAGCCTAATATGAAAACTTGCAAATTGAGAACGACTAGATTCCCCTCGGTTTGAGAGTTCCTAATGTTTGGATATGTCCAGCCAACCATCTGCAACCACGATTGCCTGCTGAGGAGCTGGTGGGAGACAAAAAAATGGGAACCAGAACAGGAGTCACTATGTGGCAGAGAGGGTTTGGCAGGCTATCTGAACTGAGACCATAATCCTCTTCGGAAACCAGTCTCTCAAACAGAACTATTCACAACAAACATGAAATGAAAACCATGAGGTAGTAGTGACCCAAAAGGAATGTGAATTCTTCTCCAGGACACAGAGACCCGGGGATGAACTGTTTGCACATTTTTGCTTCAGCTTTCTTGAGAGTAAGTTAAACTGCAAATTGTACCTATTTGCATTTGGAAATATAAAGTTAGACTAGCAAGAGAAATGCCAAACATTTGGGTGGAAATCATTAAACATAGTAAGTTGTTAGTGAGTCATTTCGATTTTTCAAATCATCTGAATATTTTTTTATTGTATGGCTAAAGAACAAGTTTTGGAGAGCCAAGATTTTTCAACTTATCCCATGACTAAAGCATGTTTGGACAAATAATGGAATAGGCTCCTGGATACCAGGAAAGAATGTAACTTTATGCTTCCTCTCTGCAGGTATGAGGTATCTCCAAAGTTATTTGAATTACTTATTCTTTATTATTTGTTTTCAGTTTTAGTGTCAGAGGAATTATAAACATGGTAAGATACAAGATTTTCTGATTTTTTTGGGGGAGGTCATTTTTAACTGGCTTGAAAATATTTTCATCTTGAATACTTAGGAAAATTCTTTATTGACCTTGTTTATCCTACTAAATATATGAGAATTTCTGATTTGTTGTGCAATGTATTTTATTCTCTGAATAGCAGGAATACTATCTGACTAGGAATTGACTGGCTTTTTGTGACCAATTTATTATTTCTAAATCACATAATTTCCTGTTCAGAGCAACTTAAGCTAACCAGATGTTTTGTGCTACAATGGTGAGTATGTTTTCTTCCTGCTATTTGCATAAGATGTGTAGGGCAAAAAATTAGTCTTAACAGTCAGAAATAAGTAACTCATGACAATTAGATTATGCAATATTCTTATTCATAAATGTTCATATTAATTCACGGAATCACTTGGTCAATATACTCAACACATTTAGATACTAAGCACGAACTTCTTAACTGAAGGTGTCACTTGTTATTACTCAGGGTTTCCAGCTGTCACAGTTTCTTGATGGCATTATTGAGAATTCATCGACATCGCTGGAAAATCTAGCCATAATGAGGAACAGAAAATTCTGTGGAATTTCTTTGCATTTTCCATCCACTTACCTTTGCATTTGATGCTATGGGACTTGTGGGGTTTTTTGTTTTGTTTTGTTTTTGTTTTTTGGTATTTGTCTCAAGACTTCTTGGACTTCAATTATATAAAGTCAAGAAAAGATTGAGTTGTAATCATGCTCGAGTTTGTGACATACAAAGCATCTATCCTGTCTGGGTTATTTATTTCCTTTAACTTCTAACTTCAGTCTCACAGCTGACCTTTATTCCTACTTCCAACGGCCAAAGGTAATCTTTCTGTTGTATTTCATAGCGATCCTTTAGTTCCAGGATATTTTTGGAAAATGTGTATTGCATATGGTGTGAATTCATATTAGTGACATTGTGATATAAATTTCAACCTTTTCCCTTTTGTTCATTCTTATTTTTTAATTGGCATCATGTTTTTAAGATTAGATACCAATTCAATGTGCTTGGTTCCTGCATAGCAATATTTGGAAATATCTGTCAAAACTTGTTTTACAACACATGTCATAATAATCCTTATTATGAAGAGCACCTTTGTATAGATCCCCTCATGAATCCATTAGAGAATTTTCCTGGAATACATACCCAGGAGCAAAATTAATTGAAGGTTTAAGTAGTAACAAATTAGTTGAAATAAATGAGTCTATACCCACTTTGGCAGTACATGAAGTTCCTTTATCCCTGTTAGAAAGTTCAACTGCCAAGAGTTGTGGACAACTATATTTGATACCATTAAACTCTAAATTGTGTCAGTCTAATGAGGAAAAGTGCTATTTCCTAATTTTAATTTTACTACTTTCAATACTATGTTTGAGCATCTTTCTTTTCCTTTTCTCTCTCTTTCCTTTTAATTTTTTTTCAGTTTTTTGGCACCCTTATCTAAGCATGCAATTGGAAACAGCTGTTAAAATATTGCTTTTTTGTTTGCTTGCACAGTGTTTTCTATTTCAAACTTCCACATTTCCTTTACTTCCTCTTTTGAAAATAAACAGGTCAAAATGAACAAAGGACGCATAAGTGTGGGTCAGCAAACATGGGCTCTTCTCTGCAAGAACTGTCTTAAAAAGTGGAGGATGAAAAGAGAGACCTTCTTGGTATGATTCAGTGTGCTTGTTTTCACAATTACAAGAGGAAAAATATTTTCTTAGCAACACAAACATTTATATTTATTACTTAATGTTTCATATATATTCTAATTAATAGGCTCTCGATCTCCAAATCCTAGACTTTTTCTGTTTTACGAATAAGATGAGTAATTATTATGTTTCTTACTGGAGACGTCTTTTAAGGAACTCATTTTCAGAAGTTCCCTGAAATATGAATCCATATCTTTATACTGAAAAGATAATTATTAACATCTGAGTTCACTCAAGTCTCATGAAGGCATGAAGTCCAGGCTCAAAGTAAAAGACAAAGGGAGAATGTAATACAGAATTCAAAAGTAACCCAAAGTTTAAACGTCAATCAAAAGAACATGCTTACCTCAAAGAAGTGGTAAAAGTAACATGTTAGAACATGTTAATTATCTCGAGTCGATTCACCATGCAATATAGATGCAAATCAAAACATCACACTGTATATCATAAATATACAAAAATATATGTGCCAATCAAAAAAAAATAGAAAATGACAATCTTGTATTGCTTCCAAGTAAATACACTATGGATGGGAAAAGAAAATCACATTTTGAACTTTTATCTCTACTAAAATAGTATTTTTTCTGTTCATAACAATGATTAGATAAGCTTTGTTTAGCAGTCAATAAATTCAAAAAAAATAATTTAAAAATCACTCATAAAAGTTGGTATATTGTCATCTTATGAACATTGTGTGTGTGTGTGTGTTGTGTGTGTGTGTGTGTGTGTGTGCTTAGCCAGCAAATATGTACTGAATGTGTGGATTTCCAATGAATAGAGAATACAAAGCTCTCTACATGCAGCAAGAATTATATAAATATGAATGTTAAGGTTGAGATCAACTCTAGAGTTGTTTTACTTCCAAACTTTTAGCTTTTGTTAATAAACATTGCATCTACCTTGTCATTATGGAGATTTATAAATGTGAACCTAGACATAAATCAATACACAGCTAAAATTATGTGAAAAATATGATTTTTGAAAAGGCCTTTTGTTTAGAATTATAGCAAAAGTAATAAAGTGGGTTCTTCGCACTGGGATTCAAATGCAGTTGCATTTCCAATTCCAGAATATGATCACAGTAAGAAAGCATTTAAAAATTCTTTCTGTGAGTAATATTTTGAGACTATCTTCTTCCACATGCAAGCAACAAAAGCTAAAAATACAACCTCACTCTTCATTGATAGAAGTTACTTATTTATTCCAGGCCTCCTACCTATTTGACATCATATAAGCCATTAAGGGCACTCATGAAGCAACCCAATCTCACATTAAAGAATGATAAACTAAGGTTCTCAATGATAATTGGAATCAAAGTCACAACTCTATCTTAGTGAACTATGTCCATATTTTAAGATGCACAGATTAAAGAACAAAAAAAATCAAGACATTGAAAATAGCAAAGAGAATGAGTGGAATGCAAAGTGTATAACAGATTGAGTAGTTTCAGTTGTAGTAGAACACCTACTTGATTTGCTTTATTTTTCTCTCATTGCTATGTAGGAATGGTTTTGTTCATTTCTTTTAGTACTGTTTGCATACCTATTCTCCTCCAATTTACATCAAGTTAACGACTCTCCTCAAATGCCTGCAATGGATCTGGGTCATGTAGGTGATTTTAATGATTCTAACTATGTTATTGAATTTGCACCTGAATCCCAAACTGCCCACACCATAATGAACAAGGTAGCTTCAGCCCCATTCCTGAAAGGTATGTTTCCTGGCAGTTCATGATAATCTCCTTATTTGTAAAATACACAAATTCATTTTAGGATTTCCTTGATAGATTGTGTTAAACGTTGATGTTTTTAGTTTATTAACAGCATTAATGTATTTTCCTTTCCAATATTAAATAGGTTTTCTTACTGTGTTAACTAGTGTCCCATGTAAGAAATTCTGTGCTAAAATGGTTATTATCTTTTATAGTACATATCAAAATGAGACAGTCCTGGATTATTTAAATGCATGTTTTTGAGAAAATCCTGGAAATCTAGATGGCAATGCCAGCATAGTTTTTTAATCTTTTCAAATACATAAAAATTGAGACAGAAATTAGATAGCAATGCTCAAACCCCACAGGCAATATTTATGACAAAGCTCAGTGACAACGTGTTTACTTGTACACCAGAATATAAGTGAGTGAGGAAGAAGCACTGATCGCCACATGTCAGCATCAAATGTCTCTCTGGGGATGGTAAGAGAGCAAAGAAAGCAGTGGGTTATCTGAAAGGCCTGAGGAGATTCCCCCACAGGACATAATAAGTGTCCATGGGAAAGCAGAGATGGCCAATTTGAGAGTAGCAATTGAAACCATTTTTAGTAGTTATATTGGTAGTGTAGAATTAGAATGCTGTTATGAGGCTATTATATGTGTAAAGTGGAATAGACTAAATAAGTAAATATGGAAGAGTCTTGCTATCTTACTCTCTGACCCTGAAAGACAGGAGTCTCAGCATTGAAGAAAGGAGGATCAGAAGTCTGGAATAGTAAATTTACACTGCGAGGAGCTATGACATTCCAGAGGGCTAGGAAGTCATCAGGAACTCATGGGTATGTCCAAAGGACACAGCAACCAATGTTAAGCTTCAGCCAGTGCAGTGATTCAACACTCATCAAGAAGTTATTTAAGTCCATGCTTTCGGAAGGAGATTTAAAAAAATATAACTGACTGCTTTACATTAGAAGATGATTGTAAATGAGTTCTTACTAAGAAAATTTATAAATAAAGGGGAAATACAATCACATGTCCTATGTGAACCAAGCTATTGCATAACGAAATAGACAGTGCAAATTACTGTTTTGTAAATGTTTTCTATGAAAAAAAGAATTAAAGGAAATAAACCATTAGCATTTTGGAATCCCCATTAAGTTAATGGATCTAGGCACTGAGCATTAATGGTTGCTAATATCTTAAAAGAGAGACAATCAGAAATTATGAGTTTCTGAAAAAACACTTACTATCACCTATGGTCTAGCAAACAAGGGTTAGACATGAATCTGATTGAGCCTCTGGATCCAGCTGCTGGTTTGCAGTCAACACATGCAGAGCAAGGAAGCATGTTGGAATGCATTGGGAGTGTGTACTCAACAAAATCCAGAGTGCAAATTATGTAGGCTAAACGGCTTGGGTTTAATATCTCATATGTTTTAGGACAAACACCCTCTCAAGAAAACACTATCCAAATTTAACTATTGTATGCTGTTTGTGGAAATTTGACCACATTGACACCACTGTCAAATAGACATAGTACATATTTTGCCATTAGTTAGGTCCATCTGAACATGACTTTAAGTGGATGGATTGGTATTGATATTATTTCAAATTCATTGTGCTTTAAATATTGGTTAATAGTTGTTTAGAAAAGGGTAATATGTTTTCAATAAAAGTATTTGCCATATAGCAGTTGGCAGTTTTATCTAGAGCATTAGAAATACCCTACCTCACCTCTAATTAAATCTGGCATTCTGTCTTTAGATCACATAGAAATCTTCTTACTTAGCTATTCCCTTTCATTACATGGCAGGAAGAACAATAATGGGATGGCCTGATGAAAACAGCATGAATGAATTGGATTTAAATTATTCAATGGATGCAGTGAGAATCATCTTTAATGATATGTTCTCGTATCATTTGAAATTTTCTTGGGGACATAGAATCCCTAAGATGAAAGAGCACAGAGACCATTCAGGTAACTTTACTGGTAAGAAAAAATACATGTGTTTGCTGCTGAGATGATAGATAGCTAGATAGGTAGGTAGATGATAGGTAGATAGATAGGTACAGATGGATAATAGATAGATAGATAGATAGGCAGATGATAGATGATAGATAGTTGATAGAGATGGATGACAGATAGTAGATAAAAAGATAGATGATATCTAGATAGAAAGGGATGATAGATAAATAGAAAGATAGATGACAGATAGATAAATGAGACAGATGGATAGACAGATAGATGATAATTAGATACATGATAGATAGATACATAGATAGATGATAGATAGATAGACATGGATGTAAATAGAAAGATAGGTGATAGATAAATGAGATAGATAGATTATAGATAAGTGATAGATAGGTAAATGAGATAGATAGATGATAGGTAGACAGAGATGGATGATGGATAGATAAATAGAAAGATAGATGATAGATAAATGAGGTAGATAGATGACAGATAGATAATAGATAGAAAGATAGAGATAGATAAGTGGATAGATGATAGACAGATTAGATAGATAGATAAATGAGATAGATCGATGATAGACAGCTAGTAGATAGAAAGATAGATGGCTATGATGTCATTAGCTATAGGGGGCACATGTGAGGTAAAATGGAATGCACAAGCCTGTGTTACTTTCTAAACATAAGAGATTGAGCTTTATTAAAATAAAACCTTTATTCTTAAGTACATTGTTTCATTAAGAATTTATATTTACCATTACTTCTGTTACTCCCTTAAATAAAACTTCAAGAAAAGACTCGCTCAATAATTACCAAACATTTAAAGATAATTTAGTGGAGGGGTTTTTTTTTTTGGCACAAACAACAGAAAAGGAAAATTAAACAAAATATTCTGCAATTGAGAAAATTATGAAATTGTTAGAAAAATCATTGAGAACTTGTCTTAAAACATTAACAAAGCAATTCTGGTGTTTCCTCCTGTGCATGCTGTACAAACCTCAACTGAGAATTCTTACCATGCTCTGTAGTACTGTGGATTTTGAATGCATTTTGTAACATTGGTACTTTTGATTTATCTTTTTACCAAGACTGTCCTATATCATAATAATGAGTGTGTTCTTATTTTCCTAAAGCTCATTGTCAAGTAATGGACAAAAAACAAACATGTGAAAGGTTCAATGTTCTGGGAGAAAGGCTTTGTAGCCTTGCAAGCTGCTGTTAATGCTGCCATCATTGAAGTGAGTATTAAGTTAAAGGAAATTAATTGTGTAAAAATTAAATTTTGATGAATGAAGATAATGATTTTCCTACTTTATCATTTATTCACTTTGTTCAATAAGCATAATATACCAAACAATTTTAATATCCAAACCATTGTGCAAAGAACTGGGGATCAGAAAATAAGCAAACAACAAGACCTTTTATCAAAAGATCCTAGTAGTGAAGACTGTATACCAATATACAGTCTTGATAAAGGTTTAGGGTTTATCATAGGATTTTAAATGGTGTGCTAGCCAAACTTGGAAGCAGAAAATACTCTGACAAGAAATAGCAGGGGAGATTTATCACTGAAGTGTTTTTCCAGTGAGTCTTAAAACACAAGTAGAACTTGTGTTTACTTTTTCCAGTAAAGATGGTGAGCAGAGATGTTCTAAGGAGGTAAGCCAAAAGCTGGACTATTACAGAGTTTAAATACAAAATGTTCATGGATCCTTAGAATTCAGAGAAAAGGCCCGAGATTGCAGTTTGATTAATGCTGACTGTCTGTTTGTTGATATCTTTAGATCACAACAAATCACTCAGTGATGGAGGAGCTAATGTCAGTGACTGGTATAAATATGAAGATATTGCCTTTTGTTGCCCAAGGAGGAGTTACAACTGATTTTTTCATTTTCTTCTGCATCATTTCTTTTTCTTCGTTTATATACTATGTATCAGTCAATGTGACACAAGAAAGACAGTACATTAAGTCATTGATGACAATGATGGGCCTTCGAGAGTCTGCATTCTGGTAAATTGCATGTCTAAAATCTATGATGCACCATAAATAAATAAATAGGAAATATGTCTTGACTCCCTAGTCCTATAAAGTATTGTGTTTAGACTTGATGCTTTCATATAGTAGTGCCATGATAAGTCATGGAATCGATGCTTAGTACTGGAACTTTCTATATTTCTATGACTTAAGGAAAGCCTGGTCCTGTAGATGTCTACCAGTCCTCAGGACACCAAGAACACAGAGGGTGACTATTGGTGACTAGTCACCATGTGAACCCAAATGCACAAGAAGTTGAGGTTTCCGCTGTACAATGAGATGTGTGTTTCAGATACGGTGTTAGATGAGGTGGTTGACTTTGATCCCGTGTTGAATGAGTCATCACGTGTATGACACTGAGGAGAAGAATCTCTGACGCTTCTGAGCACTGGGCTTTCCTCAGTGTGTGGACAGGAGCAGTGCAGCACAGTGGTGAGAACCCAGGCCTGGGAGGCTATGTCCACTCAGAACTTAGTACTTAACACCTTGGGCTTAAGCTCTTTAAATCCCAGTTTTCTTTCTTAGAAAGCATTTAATAATAATATCTGTTTCATATTGGTCATGAAGATTGAAGAAAATGTAGTTAAGTGTTTTATGTGATACTCAAGGTTCTAACACATTTGTACATGAAAGCAATGCTAGGAATCTCTCTGTAGAGCTGTCCTTATCTCAGCTAGCAAAAACACTATGTCTTTCTCATTATTGCTTATTTCTACTCTTCAATGGAACTGGAGAAAAGCGCAGAACAGGTTTTGCCTGGAAGCAAGCGGGGAGGGGAAGAGATTGGGGGTGGGGGGCAGGGGACAGGGGGAGAAATGAACCAATCAATGTACACACATGTGAATAAATGAATAAAAATAAGAAACATTAGGCACTCAATATCAGATGATCAGTTGATAGAGCATTGGGAAGTATGGCCTGACAGGACAGTGGGAACAAGTCAGGAAACTGTGGTTCAGATAGTCAGTTTGCAAGTAAATGTTTTGATGAGTTTAGCCAAGTGATCACTTAGAAACTGGTTGTAGTGAAGTGTCAGTAGTGAAGTTCAGAAATCAAAGCTGTGGATATTGAATTTGCCTTTTATACACTGTGATAATATTCTCAATGTTAAACAAGATGTGTAGAATAGATGAATAATTCTAGACATACACTGAATAATCTTTAAAGACAGTTAAGTACTGTCAAGTACAGGAAGACTGTACATATTTAATGTTACTGATTTATGCTGAATTTATTTTTTAAAGAAGCAGTGTACTAAGTGGAAAAGTAGAGAGAAGAGATTGCAGGTTTTTTATACAATGGGAATTTTCCTGTTGCTCTTGTTTGAATTAAAATGATGTATCATAACATTGAAGGAAATTTTTGTCTCTATTTTAAAAGATGATGGAAATATACAGAGGCAGAGAAAAGTAACTATCATGATAAAAAAAAAAACTCTAATCTAATGAGGAAGGATTAAAAACTGAGGGCAATTGTCCTTCCATGAAGAAAGACTGTGACATTTTATTTGTATAGAATTCGAATGAAACAATGGAGAATTTATAGAATGTGGACAGATGAGCTGTTTCAGATGGACAAAGTCTACTGTGAAAAGGAATCATGCCAGTTAAGCATTAAAATTCAGACTTCTGAAAACATGTTGATGTTTTTTACTTTAAATAAGGGCAAACCATCTGTCCACCGTGTCCCCATTATAATCCAGCTGCCATATTAAACCATTAAAAAACCTAATTTCATTTAATTCTCTTATTTTTCCAGTAGAGGAAACTAAAGTTTAAAGAAATTAAGTAATTATGCTTTAGGATTATCTAGTTACAATGTAGTGGAGAAAACTTGAACCAATCTATGTGATTAGAAAGTTTATTCTCTTTCTCCTTTATAGAACCTTTCTTAATGTTTCTTTGGCATTATTAATGGCTAAAACCACATCTTCATATCCATCTGTCTATCTGCATCTATCTGTGTCCTGTGGCTATGTGTGTATCTGCACACAACCATCTGTGTCAAGGGTTGGCAAACTCTGGCCTACCTTTGTACATTCTGAAAACTAGGAATGGCTTTCCATTCTATAACTTTTTTTGGTGGTACTGGGATTTGAACTCAAGGCCATGTGTATGGTAGGCACATGTCTTACCACTTGAGCCACACCTGCAGCCCAGCTTTTCATTCTAAATGCTGGGAGAAAAGTAAAAAGAAAGTAATACTTTTGTGGCACATAGAAATTTATCGAAATTCAAATTTCATTGTCTAAAAATAGATTTTTATTGGAACACAGCCACACATGATTTACAGGTTTTTCTATCACCACTTTTGTGCTACAAAGGCAGGCTGAAGGACACGAAACAGCCTGCAAAGCCTAAACTACGTAAGATCTGGCTCTTTTGAAAAAAAGTTTTCAATCCCTGCTTTGTCATCTATTTTTTGCCCATGTTGTTTCTATAATTACTTTACTGACAGTTGTGCAGACCCGACAACCATCATTGATGTTCCTGAAAAGCTCTTCCTAGAAACCTCAACCAATTACGCTCATTGTAGCACCCACTTTATTCTCTCTTATTTTGCAATAAGGTATCTATTTTACCTGTGTACCTGCTTATTATCTACCTTTCTCTAGAGAACATGAGCTTTGGGGCAAGAAAGTTTTCTAATTTGCCAGCTATTGCATCCTTTTAATCCTTGATAAATGGTAAACTCCACAATCCATTTGCTGATAAATGAATGATAAAAGTGACAAATTACCAGAACTCTGGAGCAATGCTGTCTATCCCCCCTAGGCTCTCCTGGGGCTTGATGTATGCTGGATTCGTCCTTATTATGGCCACTTTGATGGCAAGTATTGTCAAATCTGCCCATATTGTCATCCTAACGGGTTTTGTGGTGGTCTTCACCCTCTTTCTTCTCTATGGCCTGTCTTTGGTAAGTTGTTGAATTTCTACCCCCTGATTCCCATCCTTCTTCCCCTAACCATATGTCAGTGATTTTCTTTTCCCCATTTTGGCTATGTTTGCAGCATTTGTTGTGTTAATCAGTTTTCCATCATTATAAAAAATGCACTTAGAAAAAAAAAAAGAAGGAAAGTTTGTTGTTTTGGAGGTTTCAGTCCCTGGTTGGTAGACTCTGTTACTTTTGAGCCTGTGGCTAGGCAGCACTCATATCAGCAGTGCATGGCAAATCAAATTTTCCCACCTTATGCCAGGATGCAAAAAATGATAGAAAGAGGAAAGGGGCTGGTACTCCACAATCTCCTTTAAGGGCGAGTCCCCAGTGACCAGAAGATCTCCCGGTAGATTCCATGTCTTAAGGGTTTCTCTTCCTTCCAGTAATACCATGGGCTACAGACCAAGCCCTACACATGGGCCTTTGCGGGAGATACTTACCCAAATCATAACAATATAAAATTCCTGGGGGCAGGGGGGAGAAATGAACCAAGCCTTGTATGCACATATGAATAATAAAAGAAAAATGAAAAAAAAAAAGCAATATAAAATTCCTTCCATTATGTTACTGATGATTCTCAGAGCAAAGTACCAGCTGAATATTTTTTTCTTTTCTCAGATAACTTTAGCTTTCCTGATGAGTGTGTTGATAAAGAAACCTTTCCTTACTGGCTTGTCTGTCTTTCTTCTTACCATTTTTTGGGGGAGTCTGGGATTCACTGCAATGTACAGACATCTTCCTGCCATTTTGGAATGGATCTTAGGTCTTCTTAGCCCCTTTGCCTTTACTGCTGGAATGGCCCAGGTAAGAGTGAAGACAACTACTGTATCTTTTCAAAACATCTGAAAAATGTTCCTTCAATAATTCATGGAACATACATTAAGCATTAAAATTTCCATCCCACTTTTGCAAAGATACTTAAGGCTTAGGAGAAGTTTTTATTTTTCTTTCTCAGCCTTCTTGTTTATTTCTTAAGTCATTAAATCTAGGGTGATATTGGATGGTTGGTGTTGTTCAGTTTTTACTGGTTGTTCCAATGAATATTTGTCTGATTTAAGTTCAGGAAATATGACCTTTATATTGTCACAAATATTTAAAAACCAAGAATTTTGGGAAAAAAAGTACATTTTTATTTTAAATTGGTCATTTCTACATGAAACTGAATTTCCTCTCAGAAAAGTTAATTCTGGTTGTGACATTATAACTCTAAAATGTTAAATGAAAGTTTAGATTACATGTAAACTCATTGTATCTTACTATAGCTTAATAAGAAATTATTTTGTCTTCTGGTCAACTCCTAAAGTAATTATGCTACTCCCGTTGTACTCTGAAATGTTGACCCCTCTCCAGAACACCCTTCTTTTTCTCCACCCAAATCCTGACAATGTCTTATGCTAGGTCCAGCTCAGACATCACCTTCCTTGAGTATTGACTTCCTCTTAGGAGATTTGAGAGCTGTCACCTGTGGTTTGTAGTTAGATGAGTTGATTGCTGTGCATTCTAGTAAAGCAGCTCTGTAAAAATGCAAATTGTGTTTTATTCATCTTTGCAATTCTGGTGTCTAGCAGAAATGAGACAATAATAATTCTTAAAACTATGTTAATCCTTTTGAAATTCTATGCATCTATCTTTTTTTTTAGCTTATACATTTGGACTATGACGTGAATTCTAATGTTCATTTGGTTTCTTCAAATGACTCATACCTAATCATAGCCACGCTTTTCACGTTGGTTTTGGATGCTCTACTGTACTTGGTATTGGCATTATATTTTGACAAAATTTTGCCCAGTAAGTAGTAGCATGCTTGTAATTCCACATAATGTCATTAATTGCATTTACTTAAAATAACTTTTACAATGTATTGAATGTAAAATATCTAGAATTTTCTTTTCAAAATTTGTAAAACAAGTCTGATAACACTGAACTTTGTATATAGAATCATTTTCTAAGACGTGTACCTACCATAAGTCTTTAGCCCATTTCTTTTTAAAAAAGAAGCACTTGTGAGAGATTATGAGTAATAATACTGTTGGTGATATCAGAATTAAGTGAAGAATGCTAGTTTTTGAAGCTTATCTTGGGACTATCTATTTAGGCACTTTCCCTTAGAACTCACTTGTTAGACAATAGTAATCATGAATGCACAATGTTGTACTTGCAACAAAGTCTTCTGTTACTTCCTGGTTCATACCAGATTAATGTCAGGGAAGAGCAGGAGGAGAGATGAAGAGATGAGAAGAAGGAAAGGACCTTTCAAATAGTGTATCTGTCATGTTTCTGAGAGAACTGGTGCTTGATAGTGGCCCTCTGCTTTCAAGAACTCCTGAAATAAGAAATGTTGGGGATTATCATTATTGCTGTGATATTTATGATATACTTGGAGTTTGAACCTTAACTAATCTGAGAGGAGGAGATCACAAAATTACTCCATATGCTGACAGACAACATCTCAAAGAAGATGAGATGAAGTTGCACAGGAGAATGAAGTTACACCAAAGATCCCACTTTATTTTGAGGTACTAAAGACAAGGAGGCAGAAACAGTGCAAAAATACTGCAAGAAAAGAAATATTTTGATTGATCTCACATTTGCACATGGTTGCAAAATCCCAATGAGCAAAACCAAATCCATTCCAACCACGATTCACGTAATTACTATATAATAACCAAGTAGAGTTTACTCCAGGAATAGAATTTATTATATTACATGTTAAAGAAAATTATGTCACTATCTTAATCTATGCAAACTAAAAGTTGATAACCTTCGGTTTCCATAAATGCTAATGGAAAAGTTTTACTGGCCTAAAAATAGAAAATACTTAGCCTATCCAAGATCAGTAAAAAAAATTGAAATGTATAAAAATAGCAATGCTTAAAGATTTAAAAATAGATGCAAAGTACTTTAATAAAAGAGAATAAAAAGTTTTAATAGGTATGGTGATAGCAGGATGATAATATGTAGGATATATATTATAATTTTACATATATATTTCTCATGAGAGAATTTCTACAAATGAAATAAATTTGAAAAGTAAAAATTTGAAGACAACATAATTGCTCTATTAACTTATGAAGTATAGCCAATTTTATAGTAAATGGAACATTATAGGAATGATTTCAAGGTAATACATGTTGGTAACCACAGGATGTTCAGTTACCTAACTGAAGTTATTTAAATTATCAACATATATTTAAAATGCAGATTATTGTAAATAATTGAAGAAAATATTAGCAAATTACTTTTTTTAGAGGAAACATGGATATCAAAAGAGATATTGTAAAAGAAGGCACCACAGATGAACATAGGGCTTTTCAAAAGAAAAAAATTGTATTTTACTGGCTATGACTTACTGAGTTTGAAATTTTCATGGGTGTGGTTTTATAAAAGGTAGAAATAGTTTGTAGACTCTATTAAGATGGAAGTGCTGAGAAGTCCCAGCTAGCTTAAGTTCACTAGGAAAAAGTGATTCCAGAAATGTCAAGGAAAAACTCCTTGACATCAATTTTGACAGGATTCCTGAATTGTTGTCAGAGAAAACAGTAGGTGTGCTCTATCCGAATTTAATTCAAGCATGTAAAAAAAAAGTTCTTTCTTTATGCTTAATGTAAGAAGGGGACACAGAAGACTATTGAGTAACATTATTTTAAAAACTAAAATTCCATGTAAATAACAGTCAAGAGTAGCAGCAGAGCAATTATGCCAACCATGACCAGGGGACATTTTTAACAATAACTTGAAGAGTCATATTGGAAACAATACCTGTCATAGTACACAGGCCTCTGCCTAAAAGAGTATTAAAATCACGAAAGGACTGGTGAAGCCTGGAATGGATTTTGGCTTAGTAGGAAGTGGTCATTTCTTACTATTTAGGACTCTAAACTGCGGATGATATGATTTCTGCCCCTGAATATCACAGATGTCATATAAGGGATTCATATTACACACAGAGCTTTGCTCAGATTAATTCTGAAATCTCTGATGAATCTGAATTTCTAAAACTGTGTAATAGGGTGAATGAAAATGAAAAAATGATTGATTTTGATAATTTACTAAAAATTTGCAATTGTCTGAAAAAATTCTGTGTAGCCAGTAGAAAGATAATTCAGGGAGACAGATACCATCATGATAGTTGAATTTGGATTCATTTACATACTTTAAAACCAATCTTCATATTATTCTTTATTTAATTTTTTAAAAAAATGTAACAACATATTGTTGGTGAAATCAAACTTGTAAAGTGCATAAAAGTAAACTCAGAAATGGGTTTAATTAGTAACCATTACTGTCTGGTGAAAACTTCCATAGCTTATTCCCCTTTTCTCCATCATTAATCATTAATCTTAGCAAGAATAGAACAGAAAAGGAGCTAGGAGTTGCTCTAGTGGTAGTGGTGAGAATCACCACAAAGAAGCCTTTCATTTTTCTTCTTCATGAATACATATTTTCTCCATTTCTTTTGTTTAAAAAGTTGAGCCTAATTTTATTGCCTCCTCCAGGATCTCTGGGAAACCTTATCTTGTATATTTATCAGTCACTTACTGTCTTGATAAACAAGACACATAATGACAAGAGTTCTATTTTTCATCATAGTGGGAAACTCTGGTGAACATAATCATTTGGTTGGCCAAATGGACTTCAAAGTTGTTCTTTTTTTAAATTTTATTTCTTTTACTCATATGTGCATACAATGATTGGGTCATTACTCCCCCCCTTCTCCACCCCCACCCCCCGCCCCCTCCTTTTCTCCCAACCCCCCTCTCTTACGCCCCATTCCCTCACTTCCAAGCAGGAACTGTTTTGCCCTTATCTCTAATTTTGTTGAAGAGAGAGTATGAATATTAATAAGGAGGACCAGGAGTTTTTGCTAGTTGAGGTAAGGATAGCTGTATAGGGAGATTCCTAGCATTGCTTCCATGTACATATGTGTTACTTTCTAAGTTGATTCTTCTTGAACTAACCTTTTCTCTAGTTCCTGGTCCCCTTCTCCTATTGGCCTTTGTTGCTTTAAAGTTTCTGCATTAGGTCCTTTGCATTGAAGACATCAAATGCTATCTTTTTTTTTTATTATGGGTTACCTACCTATCCTCATACCTCCCTTGTGTGCACTTGCCTTGTCATATGATCAAAGTCCAATCCCCTTGTTGTGTTTGCCCTTGATCTAATGTCCACATATGAGGGAGAACATACGATTTTTGGTCTTCTGGGACTGGCTAACCTCACTCAGAATGATGTTCTCCAATTCCATCCATTTACTTGTGAATGATAAGATTTCATTCTTCTTCATGGCTGCATAAAATTCCATTGTGTATAAATACCACAGTTTCTTAATCCATTCGTCAGTAGTGGGGCATCTTGTCTGTTTCCATAACTTGACTATTGTGAATAGTGCTGCAATAAACATGGGTGTGCAGGTGCCTCTGGAGTAAACTGTGTCACATTCTTTTGGGTATATCCCCAAGAATGGTATTGCTAGATCAAATGGTAGATCAATGTTTAGATTTTTAAGAAGTCTCCAAATTTTTTTCCAGAGTGGCTGTACTAGTTTGCATTCCCACCAGCAGTGTAAGAGGGTTCCTTTTTCCCCGCATCCTCGCCAACACCTGTTGTTGTGGTGTTGCTAATGATGGCTATTCTAACAGGGGTGAGGTGGAATCTTAGTGTAGTTTTGATTTGCATTTCCTTTATGGCTAGAGATGGTGTGCATTTTTTCATGTGTTTTTTGGCCATTTGAATTTCTTCTTTTGAGAAAGTTCTGTTAAGTTCACTTGCCCATTTCTTTATTGGTTCATTAATTTTGGGAGAGTTTAGTTTTTCAAAGTTGTTCTTAATGTTGGATTTAAATTCCTCCTGAAACATCTCACTCTGCTTTGTAGAACTTTCCATTTAGTTTGCAATGCTACATTCTTCTCATATTAGAACCATCACATTAGATGATAACATCTCAGGTGTTTGTTCCAGTTTGTTCTGTATATGCCAAAAGCAAATGAAAACAGTAATCTTTTAAGGTGATAATGTAGATCCAGGTTTAATATCAAAGGACTTGCATTGACAAGCTGCCTTAGAGTGATTGTAACCCTTGAAGTGTTGGCTGATCTAACATTTAATTACCTCCTGCCCATGTAGACAAGTATGGACATCGACATTCTCCCTTGTTCTTCCTGAAGTCCTCTCTTTGCTTTCAACACCAAAGAGCGATTCCTGTGGACCTTGAGAATGAAGTAGATTCTGATCCTTCATTCAATGAGTCGTTTGAACCAGTGTCTCCTGAGTTCCTTGGGAAAGAAGCCATGAGGTAACAAACAAGTCACATGGAACCACAATGGAGAAAAGGCCAGAGACCAGGGACCAATTGATCTATCTACCTATCTATCTATCTATCTATCTATCTACCTACCTACCTATCATCTATCTATCTTTGTACACTGATGTACAAAGATTGCCTTCTGTGCCCCTCTGTGACCACCTACCCCAGCCTACTGCACTCTGTGTTCTCACATACTCAGCATTTATATTTACCGCTATCTTATGCTGTTGCAACCAGTGTTGATAAATAATCTTCACACTTCCATTTCCCCATTGTCTCTCGTGATTTTCCTCCTCATGATTTGCTCTCTCTTCCTCTGCTCTCTCTCTGTGATACACAATGTTATCATCTCCCTGGTTATTCTCATCCCCTTCCTCTGTGATTCATTTGGTCCCTCTTCAGTTCTGGCTGATCCAATGAAGGCAAAATGTCAGGTGAGGCAGAATGTAAGAAAGAGACATTCCAGAGAGATGAGAAGGGAAGGTGAGAAGTTAGGAGTACTGGAACCAGTTATCCCTTCCCTGGGAAAAGATGCACGTGCTATGTTCAGTGGCTACTGCTTTGGCTTCCAAACAGCTAGAAATCCCTAAAATCCTAGATCTTTGCTCAATTTTTGTCCACTATTCCATGGGCTGTCCATCCCAATAAAACCTTTTTCTGATCTACCTCTTCCACTAATTTATTTTAACTCTGAACTCTAGTTATGTAATTTCTAAAGTATAGGTCTAACATGAACAGACAACAAAGAGTAGTATTTTATCATTCTTCATCAGTTGGTTCTATGTTTTTCAAGGATTGTGATCTCTTTCCACGCTGGAACACTAAGTTTTATGTTCTTTCTGTTGTCTAAGAAGGAATCACATTTTATCAGAGCAGTAGTAAAAAGCCTTGAATGCTGCAAGAAGGCGTTTTGATTTGCTCAGTAGTAAAGGAAAAGGGGGTGAAAGTTGATGAATTCTAAGTTACAAGATTATAGCCTGAAGTGATGGTGCACACTTATAATCCCAGCACTTGGGAAACAGAAGCAGAAGTACCAGAAGGTTGTGGCTAGTCTGAGCTATATATCAAGACCTTGCCTCAAAAATAAAAAAGAAGACCAAAAGATTAGCCCTATGCTCTAGAAAATGTATCTCTATCAAGGAGTAAAAGAATTGGAAGTAGACAGTCCCACACGGCTGTCCAGAAGGTTCAGTCTATAGCATGGGAACCCAACGCTGCCTGCCCTGCTTAATTGCTGTGGCTTGCACTGTGTCCAACACCAGTTTGCAGAGTTCAGAGCTTGGGTCATTTCATCCCAGAGTCCAAGCTGGACTCACCATCAACTTTCAGTATAGAAAGCAGAAGAACAATCTGTTATTTAAAATGCATTATTGTACCAACCACAGTGTAGCTTCTACCTAATCTAAAATCTAGAATCTGTTATCTAAACACTAAGGGTAAATTCCATTAAAACTTAAGGGAAAAACCCACCATTGCTATTGCTTTGATTGAATGAAGGAATAAAGCAACTGATATTTATGACTGCCTGAAAAACAAATGATGGTGATAGAGGGGTGAGAAAAAGTCCTGCAACTTGCCCCACACCTCATCATTTAGGAAGAGACAGTATTTGAACCCCATTTGCCCAATCTAGTGTTATGGTACCCCAATGCCTGTCCTCTCCAGTTTTACTTCCATATTTAACTAGATTGTACCTATTCTATGAATTGAACTGTGTCCTCTCAAAATTCATATGAGGCAGAGGCAGGAGGATGGTGAGTTTGAGTCCAACCTGAGCTCATAGTGTGAGCCTGTATAAAAAAAAGTCATGTGTCAAAAATCCTAACCCCCTAAACAGATGGCATTTAGCAATGAGGCCTTTGAGAAGTAGTCAGGGCTAAATGAAATCATGAGGGCAAGGGTCTTCATGATGGGATTAGTATATTTACAAGAGGAGACACGGAGATGAATGCTCACCCAGTGAAGACACGGCAAGAAGACGGCCATCTGCAAATCAGGAAAGAGCCTTCACCAGGAGCCAAGTGAGCTAGCATCTTAATCGTGGACTTTCCAGCCTCCAGGACTGTGAGAAATTAATGTCTAATCTTTAAGCCACTCAGTTTATGATATTTTGTTACAGCAGACTGAGCAGACTAACACAAACCACCTGCTAATTTGTTTTGATAATATAAGAAAATAATGCAGATAAAATGCACAGGGTCTGGTTTCTAGTAGAACTGCAACTCGTTTAAGATAATTTTCTGTGCGCTCATTAAAAATCTGTCTTTGTCTTACATTTTTTTTTCTGTTGTCTTCTTCTCTCTCCTTCTTTGGAGGTTTACTATGTCCCAAGCATTTTGTGTTCTGCATCTATTCTCTTACTTACTCTACAAATCAACCCTTTGTGATAACGTTGTCATTTTCTTTTCTTGCAGAAGAATGAGTTCAATGAGTTTTGAGTTCATAGTATTTATAACAGAGCTGGCACATGACACAACTGGAACTTTATCCTGAACAATTTGACTCAAAGCCTTAATCTTTCGTTTTGGTGTGCTGCTTTTTTTTTTTTTCACCACCATAGCATCTCCTACCCATCAATTTCACTTCCAGCTTTCCTCTGCTCCAGTCAACTAGAGTGAAAGACCCCCCTACCCCAGATTTTCATCCTGCCTCAAAGACTTGACTTAACACTCTTCACAATTTCCTCAAAACATTTTCCTCTTTTTTCAGAATCAAAAACTTTAAAAAAGAGTATACAGGAAAACATGAAAAAATAGAAGCTTTGAGAGGTAATAAAATAGTGTTATATTTAACTTGGTTATTTGTTTTACAGACTATGTCTCACTATTTTAGCACCTTGGTAGGAGCTGAAAATAAGATATTCCGGATATCATGATTCTTTTTTATTTGAACAAATTATGTTTCCATCCAAGCAAATGTAATAAATATAATAATTTTAAAAGTAGACTGTATTATTTAGAAAAATTCTTTATTTTCAACTCATCATATGACCTTGCACTAAAGTTATCTTTATTATAGCCAGCATATTATCTATAAGGGTAAAAATGCTTTTATCCAAATAATTATTGATGTCTTATCATTGATGATGCTATAGTTATAAAATATGTATAACATCAGATACAATTTTAAAAGGAAGAGTTTCGAGACTGAATTTATTTTGAATAATGGTAGCCAAATATATTTATGCTATGAGAAATTATAAAAATTGCAGAGACTGTGAAGTTACCATGTTGAGTAATTCTGAGTGTAATTTCTTTGAAATCATGCCAGGTCTGGTACTGGACATATATGAAGGCCAGATCACTGCCCTCCTCGGTCACAGTGGAGCTGGGAAAACCACCCTGTTAAACACTCTTAGTGGGCTGTCGCTCCCAACATCAGGTGAGAGGGCAAATGAGTTAACTGTGCATTTTATTAGTTAGCTTCGATAGTTTCATTAACTACTGTTGGATCATGCACTTAAGAATAAATTTTTAGAAGTTTCCTTAAATGTTACATAATGAATACATGTATTGAAATATTGTACCCCAGTGATGTGTATAATTTTTATCTTTATGTATCATTTTAAAAAACTAAATATTTTTTAAAAGTGTAAGCTGTTCTTATATAATTGTATTTACTTAGGAAAATGTTGTGCTCTAAATATTTATAAATAGCTTTAAGATTTTTCAGTTACTAATTGGCCTTCCTGCTAGATGGGATGTTATTTTGAACATTAAATTTTTAGTCAGTCAATTGTATATTGCTTACAGGTAAAATATGGTTAAGAGAGTCCAGTAATTTACATACATTGATTTCCATTTTAAAGTGTCTTAAAAGCAATATGACACTTTGTCCTAGTGGTAACTCTTTACCTTCTACTTGTAGGTTCTGTCACCATCTATAATCAGACCCTTTCAGAAATGGCTGACTTTGAAACTGTCAGCAAGTTCACTGGAGTTTGTCCACAATCCAATGTACAATTTGGCTTTCTCACTGTGAGAGAAAATCTCAAGCTGTTTGCTAAGATAAAAGGGATTCTCCCACAGGAAGTGGAGCAAGAGGTATGTGAACATGTTAGCTGTTAGGCAGCTACGAAAATGAAATTGCTTACCTACAAAATGTTACAGATGTTTGTGTTAAATTATTTGTACACAATTCACTTCAAGGTTAGACAAAAAGGCCCTTTTCAAAGACAGAAAAATGATAGCCTTAAAAAAATAAATATCTTGAGTTTTGGGCTAATATTTTTTGTTTGGCCAGGTACAATGAGTTTTACGGGACTTAGTGATGGAAAATATTCAAGATATTCTTGCTCAAAATTTAAGTGGTGGACAAAAAAAGGAAACTAACTTTTGGGATTGCCATTTTGGGAGATCCTCAGGTAAATCAAAGTAAGACTACTGGGTGAAATTGGATTGGAGACTCTGAAACTATTGTATTAGATAAATGATTTGCAAATGATAAATGTAGGAAAACTTTTACAATGAAATATTAAGTACTAAGGTATTTCTCCCCAACTTACAACTATAGTGCTTTATAGAGGAATCTTGCCTGACAGGGACAAGTTATTTTAAGTTTTTTCCTGCTCTCAGGTTTTGCTATTGGATGAACTAACAGCTGGATTAGATCCCCTTTCAAGGCACCACATATGGAACCTCCTGAAAGAGAGGAAAGCGAACAGAGTAATTCTCTTCAGTACCCAGTTCATGGATGAGGCTGACATCCTGGCTGGTAATTTTTGTTTTCTTCCTATATCCTAGTAAGAAAGTAGAGGCATTTACATATTCTGAATAGACAGATCCACAGCTGTGTCTCACTGGTGGCTGCCATGGACCCAAACAGGGGAATTTTGCTCCTACTCATTTGAGTGTCTGCATCCCAGAGTATTTTGCTCCACAGAAGTATTCTGATTTCAATGCAAAACAGCAGAACATTCTCAAAAATATATTATGTTTTATTTACTATGGATGTTAGTGGTTTAAATGATTGGTAATTTTCCTAAATAAGCTAGAGAAAAATCAAACAGTTTATCATTGTAGTTGTTGGATGACAAAGAAAGTGGTATCATTAAAGAGTGTCCATTCTAGTGTTCCATGCTTCCAAAATACATTATCTGTTAATGGATTCACTCTTTTGTGAACAGTGAAGAAGTAATTCCTTAATATAATTCATCTTTTGGTTTTTCCTAAATAGATAGGAAAGTGTTTATATCCAACTGGAGACTGAAGTGTGCAGGCTCCTCTCTGTTCCTGAAGAAGAAATGGGGCATTGGCTACCATTTAAGGTACAGCTCTTAATGATGCAGACATGTTAAAAATGCCATGGCAGGTGCTATCAATGTCAATAAGTCAAAGAATGTGCATAACTACTACATTCATTTCAAGAAAGCTGTGTCAGAACTAAATCATCCGTTCTTTATTAGATAGAATATAAATTATGTGAGATTATGGATAATAAGAACTAAGAGTGGCTAATCTAGCTTTAAATAAAATGTTTAGAAGATAGTTTCATAGTATGCTGCTTGCTAAATTTATTGATATTTAAATCCCTTTCTTAACAATATTTCAAATGCTTATTTTTGTTCATCTTGACAATTCCAATAGTCTCCTCTCTATTCTCCCTGACTTTCATTTTCTCCACCATTTTTTTCTGTCTCCTTCTCTTCATGATAATAATTGTTATCAGTATAACACCATGTATCAATTAATTAAGTATTGGCTACGTTTTAGGGACTTGATAGTTACCAGAGAATACTCACATATCATATTTAATCCTCCAAATAACTCTAAGCAGATTCTTTTATTCTTCCTCCTTGACAAGTGAGAATACCACATGCCAGAAAATTTTAATAATCCACCAGTCTCACCCTGTTCTTAAGATCCAAGATTTTTTGGATCAAGATTATAGGTGTGGTATGAACCACTGACTGTACTTCCCCCTGAAATATTAATATTTCTTAAAAATAATTTGAATCGCTTCCTTCCCAGGAATTTACTCAAATCTACCATTTCATCATGATTGCTTATTTGAATCAAACTGAATCAGTACCTGCCAAGTAAAAGGAACCACAGGATGACCTCCAGTCACATTCCATAGTTAGGCATTTTCTTTCTACTTGAGGGAAGACAACTGTCTATTATGTCCTCCTCCATCCCATTTAACGCTGACCAACTCTTATCCATTCTTCAAGGTTATTTCTGAATATTTTCTCCTTAATGAGCATCTTCTTCTGGGACCCTAAATGTACTAATTTGAATTGTTGCTTTAGGCAATATAATTAACTTCTCTGATCCTCAGTAATAATGTCACTTATAAAATAGCAGTAATGATATCAAATTTTTAGTTAAGGCTAAGAAATATTGAATGAGTGAACACTTAACTGAGTTCACACAATTTCCTTCTGCCTCACTTTTTCTATAACATGTTGGCTTTTATTATCATTCTGTAACAACCCCTGTGGGCAAGGGTCATCCCTAAAGTATTCTTCTGATTTGGTATCTTTGATAATGATAGGCACAGGACCTTGTAAACATGGAATAACTTAAATTGATTTGTATGTTTCTGTCATCAGTCAATTGTGACATTTGCCTCACTCTGTCACCTTAATGCATTTCAGTGGAGATGACTAACCATGGGGTCTCTAAAATCTAACCGTTTCATGTAGAACTTTATATGGTCTTATCAAAACAACCAGCTTTCACTTGAATACATTTTTCTCAAAAAAGATAAATTTATCTAATATGTATTGAGGATTTACTTTGTGAAAGGCCATGTGCTATCTCATATATACTATTTTATTTTGTCTTTAGAAGTTATTTTGAGAGTTGTGTATTTTTTTTTTAATCTCACAGATGAGAAAACCAATACTCAGAGATGGTAAACAGCTTGCCTGAGTTTTGGAGACAGTGTTAGCACCATGTTAGAACCATGTTCTCAATGACTGCATAAATTACCCCCTTTTTTGTCTTACCATGTTCAAGTCCAATTTTTTGCAGAACTCATACATTACTACAAATGTTGGATCTTGATTTATTTATTTTTTGCAGTAAGTACTGGGGGTTGAACTTAGGGCCTTGAGCTTTCTAGGCAGGTGCTCTACCACTTAAGTCATTCCCTTAGTCCTTTTTGCATTGGTTATTTTTGAGATAGAGTCTTGTTTATGCCTGGGCCAGCCTGGACTGTGATCCTCATATTAGAGTTTTCCCAGGTAGGTTGCATGAATGGTGTGTGCTACTATGCTCAGCCACTGGTTGAGATGAGGTCTCAGGAACTTTTTTCCAGGGCTGCCCTCAAACCAAGATCCTCCTGATGTCTGCCTCTCAAGTAGCTAGAATTACAGGCTTGAGCCACTGTGCCCTGCCAAGGTTGACTTTTCTGACAGAGACAAAATTGGGTATTTCCCTTTATTTCACCCCAGGCAAGATCTGGCTGAAATCTATTTCTTCCAAATGACAGTCCTTGAGTTTTCTTATTGAACTCTGCCATGTGGTACAGATTCACCACTTTGGACTCTATTACTAGTGTTACATCGTCTTTTTTTCAGCAAATTATACATTTTGTCTTGTAAATATAATGAATAGCAAACACATTCTACATTGTTAGGAAGTTGTTTTGTGAGGCAGTGTTGGATAAAAATAACTTTATCATATTCTTTTAAATGTTAGTTTGCATCTGAATGAAATGTGTGATCCAGAAAATATAACATCACTGGTTAAACAACACATCCCTGATGGCAAATTAACAGCACAAAGTGAAGAAAAACTTGTCTATATTTTGCCCTTTGAAAGGACAAACAAGTTTCCAGGTAATAAAATGTAGAGATTACAGAATGATTTGGTATAACAATGCTGATAAAAATGATAACTGGTTCTAATGCTTGCTAAGGTACCTGGCACTGTGACTGACTATTCAATATTCTCAACCCTAAGGTCACTTCTAATATCCACGTCACTTATGAGTAAACCAAGGCACATAAATATGCTTCAAGTTGCAACATGCACAATTAAGAGGTGTAGGAGAACATCAAGCTAAAATTAGGACTGTTAGGGAAATCTGAGGAATGAATGGAAGAGAGCGGTCAGGTCAGGAAGTGAAGTGGTTTGTGAAAACAGTGGCAGACTATTGAAGGAGAGCTAAGGGGCTTCACATTCAGTATCTAGTCTGTATATATAATGGTATTTAAGTTACTGAACATAATTCTGATCTGCGTGCAACTAAACATAAAATTCACAACTTTGCTGCTGATACAAAAATCTGAAGGGCTACTGTGTTTACCACGTTTCTCCTGCATCTTCCAGTGTGCTGCTTCATTTCCCAAAAGTTTTGAGGTAGATTACTTCTTCTTAAAGTATAGCCCATAAAAATGCATTGATCTTATTGTAAAGTCATAGAATTTACCAACTCTTAGTGGAGAATCCAGGGGCCCTTGCTACATGCTTGAATGAATATATCTGCCATAATCATGGATAAAAAAAAAAGAAGCATAACACGTATTACGTATAAATAAGTACCTAGAATAATCCTAATGTGTAGTAACTACAGCATTTCATCATGTCTAAGATACTCTTAACTAGGATGTACCATGAGGAAAGGAACAGTAGAATCATCTAAGGTCATGTATGATCCATCCTCATGTCGGACATGTTAAAAGTGACTAAATATACTCCAAATCCCCAAAATGATGGTAGTTTCAGATGCATGCACAATGTCTTTGAGATGTGTACCACTGTGAAAACAGAAATCTTTATGAAGACCACACAGAAGTTTTATCAGATTTAAATGCATTCCAAAAGGGATGAGCGATTTCAAGAAAGACTGAGAAAGGAACATCCTTTAGGTGGATTAAGAACTCATTAGAATTCCTGAAATCATGACTACATCTCTATTTTTCTTTAACCAACACATAATTTTAAGATAAAAGCTTTAGTTCCCAACATCTTAAAAAAACACTTTCAAAAGGACAGTCTGTCAATCCCTCATAAGAACTAAGAGAGAGAGAGAGAGAGGAAGAAAGAAAGAGAGACAAAGGAAGGAAGGAAGGAAGGAGGGAAAGAAAAGAAAGAAAGGACTACAGCATGAACTTGGGGATAAGCACAAAGTTACACAGTACATATTTTGTTCCTTTAATTTTTAAACTAGGAAAGACTGTCAATGGCATATTTCTATAAATACTAGTAGTTCTTTTGTATGTTATTATAGTTCCCTGAGAATCTTAACATGAAAGTATGAATCTTTAGTCTCAAGAAAATATTCTTTAATCATAATTTAGAATAAATACTCCCTATAATATGACAGAATTAAAAATTTTAAAACACATTAAATAAGATATACTCATTTTTAAGACTATTAAGTTTTTTAAGAACAGAGTTTTAAAAAATTTATTTATGATTCTGGGGATTAAACCCAGGACCCTATGTATGCTAGGCAAGCACTTTACCACATGAACCATGCCCCCTTTGTATTTTATTTTTGACACAGTCTCACTAGTTAACTTAGTTAGGGCTGACCTCAACCACACAATTCTCCTGACTCTACATACTGAGTAGCTGGGATCACAGGAATGTACCACCATATCTAGCTAGTAAAATAAATGTTTAGATTAGACTTTGATACTCAAAGACATGGAAACTAATGCAGTGCATAGGTCTGCATCAGAAATAAAGAAACGTCTACATCACAGTTTTATTTCTGATGAAAGTGCATTTGGCCTATCACCAGCCTGTTTCTCTCTTTGAAAAATGTAATCATTTCAATTTCATTATGTTTATTCTTTTGACCCACTTTTTCATCTACTTTTAGACCTTTATAGGGATCTTGATAAACATTCTACCCAAGGTATTGAGAATTATGGTGTTTCCATGACAACTTTAAGTGAAGTGTTTCTGAAGTTAGAAGGAAAATCAAAGTGATGAGTCAGGTGAAAAAAAAAAAAAAGAAAAGAAACTTGAATTTCATTTTCCCAGGTCCTATTTTACCTTGAAAAATATCTTGAACAGTGAGATTTTATGTCTTTGTTGGTGCTGGCCTCAGGAAAGACTAGAACAGAGAAGAAATGTATGTCTGTGGAATGCAGCAATGTACCACAGTAGGTTTTAATGAAGCAGATAACAAATATGCAACATCCTATTGACTGCATAGAATGCTATAGAGAAATGTAGAATTTATATTGATTGCTTTATTTAGTTATTTAGTTATTATTTTGGTGGGATTGTGGTTTGAACTCAGGTTTTACACAATTGCAAAGCAGGTGCTCTACCACTTGAGCCACACCTCCAGTCCATTTTGCTTTGGTTATTTTGAAGATAGGATCTCTCCAACTATTTGCCTGGGCTGGCCCCAAACTGTGATCCTCCTGATCTCAGCCTCTTAAGTAGCTAGGATTACAGGCACATGTGTCACTGGCACCCAATCGTGGATGACTGTTTTGTAGAATTTTTACAGATATGTCAATGCTAAGGTAAATAATGCAAATTAAAATGGTACCTGCTAGATGACTGGTGCTGTGTTGTAGATATTGGAGTTCAGGGACAGTTACAAAGTGATGCAAGCCTTGCTGCACTGGAGCAAGTGTTGTCCTCCCTCAGCACAAGAAACACAGTCAGCGGCATGGTGCTCTGGAGGCAGCAGCTCTGTGCAATAGCAAAAGTGCGATTCCTAAAGTTAAAGAATGAAAGAAAAAGCCTGTTGGCCATGTGAGTATCTGAGTGTGTCATAGTTCTTTGGTCTGTACACCCAAAATAGATATAAGAGAGAAAAACTTTTAAAAACTAGATATAATAAATCCCAGTAATTGTATTTGACCTTTTATGCATTTTTTAAATTGCTCATGTGGGTATTCAATCAGAACCTAAAAAGGATGAGATTCTTTTAGTTTAACACAAATTTCGATCTTACCAATGTGATAAAGCAATTTTTCAAAAGCACATGGATGTCAACACTTAGGTGTCATCCCCCAAACCCAATTCCCTCTCCCCCAGATGCTTAAGACTGAATCTCTCATCACTTTTCAGAAAAGTGGAAGCAATAGAATATATACCTCATATTTCTATATGGAGATATACGTATAGAATGTGTATATGGGATATATATATACATATACATGCGCATATATAAAATATATCTATACATTTTTATATTTTTATTTATGTATAACTATATATTTTTATATATGCACATATATTTGCATATATGCATATATTTTTGAACAGATCCATTTTAAGGAATTGGCTAACACTATTGTGGGGACTGGCAAGTTTGAAATCCATAGGGCAGACAGCAGCCTAGAAACTCAAGACAAAGTCAATGTGGCAGTTAACGCACTGTACAATTAGGTAGAATTTCAATTTTACAGTCCTGAGGCTCTGTGCATTCTGCTTTAGTTTCACAACTGCATCTGGAAACCATTATAAGGTTCACACTTGCCCTTGAAGCTTCAGCCTTATCAATGAATACTACCTTCTTGCATAAGCCCAGCTCTACACCAAGAACACTTATCCAAAATACTTAATGACTACTTTAATGCAACAAAGTATATGTTTATATAAGCAGCTTTCCATCACTGTAAAGAAATACAAAAAGCAGTTAAATTATAAGGAAAAGACCCACAGTTCTGGAAGTTCTAGTCCAAGCTCAGGTGGCCCCATGCTTTGTTCCTGTGATGAGGTCACATCATGGTGGGAGTGCATGATGGAGCAAAGCATCTCCATCACGAGTGAAGGAGCAGAGAGGAAGAATAGGAGACTAAGATTCCAATCCCCTTCAAGGTCCTGTCCTCAGTGACCTAAGAACAGAACATGTGCTAAGTGTTTACAATCCTGTGATGCTACTCTGGTAACTAGGTCTCTTACACATCAACCTTTGGGGGACATTCAACTTCCAAACTATACCTCTGGTCTTCCCATGAGAGCAATTAGGAATCTATCAAAAAGTGTGATAGAAAATACACACGTACACTATGACACTTAGTAGGAAAGTTGTGATGTCAAAGTAGAGGCATCAAAGAACTCAGGGAGAGCTTGAATTCTGTATAGGAGAATGGAACTTATTGAGTTAAAGAGGGAAAGAAGGATGGAGATCTAGGCCAAGCACAACAATACCAGAGGAATCTAAGGAGCTGTTATACTCTGCATTCATTGCAAGACAGAGTGCAAAAAAGTACAAGTAATTGTAAGAATACATCATTATATAGAAGAAGTGGAGGTCTGGCTCGGTGGTAGGAGATTTGTTTAGCATGTGTGAGACCCTGGGTTCCATCCCCAGCACTGCAAAAATATAGTTCCTCCAAATACAAGTAGACTTTATGGACCTATTAGAGTTTTATTTTTATTTTGAATGGGTGATTGATATAATCAGGACAGAATGCTAAGAAGCTTATTTGGGCAATGACACAAAATTGTTGGAAATAGTCATTTCTATAGAAAATGGAAGTTATCATTTAGGATAATATTAAAAGAAGTAAAAAATGTGGTAAGAAGGGAAACCAAAGTGAAAAAGAGAAGGTTTAGGAGGCAAGAAAGAATGGTGATATCATAGACAGGAATTTTCAGCTATTTGGAAAAGAGACTTCAGGGAGAAAAACACATGCAATATGAGCTTTGTCGCCCAAGTGATAGAGAAAATGTTGCAATTTATAGTTTTGGGAAGCAGAATGGAAGAAAGGTTCAGAGTGTAGAGGGTCTGGGTATGGTGATATGCCAAGTTGTAGTGGTGCAGATAAAGGAAGAGATGCACCTCTGAAATGGAGCAAAGATGTGGGCATTGGAGAGAGTTAAGAAACGAAGTGTACAAAGCAGGAGTAGACACAGAGAAAAAGATCAAAGATAGATACACAGAAACCATCTCATTTTGAAAAGAACAAAAAAGGAGGAAGAAGCATAATTCAAATGTTACTTAGTGATTATTTATTTCTATTAGTGCATTCGTTCTCTACTCGAACCTAAAAACCTGTGATAGATTTTTTTTTTCTTTTACATTTTCCTCCACATAGGTTACTGCTTTTTGGGATTAGCTTTTTCCCTCAACTTTTGGAACATCTATTCTATGAGCTATATGAAAAAAGTTACACTTGGGGTCTGTCTCCAAATATGTACTTCCTTTCGCCAGGACAACCACCACAAGACCCTCTGACTGATTTACTGGTCATCAACAAAACAGGTGAACATGGGGCTGAAACGAGACTCATAAGTGCTGCTCTTGTTGGGAGAGTCCCAAGAAAACAAAACATAAAGAAAAACAAATTCTGTGTGTTTTACACAACAGAAGTCAAAGAAAAAAAATTATTTTAAAAATGAAATGTGTAAGATTGGAAGAGTTTATTTTAGAAACACATTTTGAAGTTTACTTAAACCCTAGGGTTACTGTACAAAGCAATCAAAGGAGATTTAGAAGGGTGAGTTGTTGACTGGTGTTTGAGGTCTGTCTGTATCATTTTGTAAGTATGTGTATTGCTGGGTTCTGTAAAAAAATCTGTTCCAAATTTATAAAATGATGGAAGATTAATAGCTTCAAGGATTACAACGCAAATTAGTAACTCTTTTTTGTATTGTTTTGTTTTGTAGTGCTGGGAGTTAAACCCACGCCCTTAAGAATGTTATGCAAGTTCTCTAGCACTGAGCTATACCCCCAGCCCAGTAATTAGTGTTTTCACACTAACAGAAATTATGGTAAATTTTAGGCTTAGGTGAAAAAAGTTTATCATATCCATGATATGATAATGGATTTTAGAACCATAGCCACCATTCTGCTTTGTAAGGAAATCTGGAGACGGTTCATAATTTGGAATGCTTTGTGTGATGGTATTTAGAGCATCTTTTTTGTAGTTTCTTTTCTTTAATAGTACTTGGCTCTGTTTGGATTAATTCTTTCTTCCTGTGATCTTTACCTTCATGCTAGGGTCAAGCATCGATAAGTTTATCCATTCACTGAGACGGCAGAACATAGCTTTAGAAGTGGATGCCTTTGGGAGTAGAAATGGCACAGATGAACCATTCTACAATGGTGCAATCATTGTGTCAGGTGATGGAAAGGTATACTGGACTCCGTGCTGCATTTCACCAAAGATGGATTATGAATGCACAAGCTGAGTGATTCAAATCACCTGACATAAAAGGCCTGTTTTCACAGAAGCTGAGCTGCAATCATTTGCCTGAATCCTCTAACAGTAATTTATTTAAATCTAATCAATTTAGATCCCATTCCAATAGTTAATTTGAATCTTATTCTCTTTGTTGCTAGACCAATTTAGACTTGGTCTTTATCCTACAGTTGGCTGTATCTCTGTACTGCTACACTCACATCACTCTGGGCCCTACAGGAATGTGAGTTAGAGAGCCTCATGGTGGACATGCAGGAAAGGATGAGGCAATAAAGTTAAATGTATAAATCACCACTGTTAGGCATTGTAAGCTTAACTGTTTAGAGCCTGCCAGACTTAGTTTTCAGGAATAATTTCCAAGCCTAAAAGAAACTAAGAAATTACCTCTGAGGCAGGAAGACTGTGAGTTCAAGGTCAGCCTGAGCTACACAGCAAGAGCCTAGGAGAGAGAGAGAGAGAGAGAGAGAGAGAGAGAGAGAGAGAGAGAGAGAGAGAGAGAGAGAGAGAGAGAGAGAGAGAGAGAGAGAGAGAGAGAGAGAGAGAGAAAAGAAAGAAGAAGAAGAAGAAAGGAAGGAAAGAAAATACCTTTAATCAAGCTAGTCCTTAATTGAGTTAGTTTCTATTATGCCCAGAAAAACAGTTTTTAAAAATGGCACCTTCAGCCAGGTGCTGGTGGCTCATGCCTGTAATCCTAACTACTCAAGAGGCAGAGATCAGGAGGATCTTAGTTTGAAGCCAACCAGGCAAATAGTTTGGGAGACCCTATTTAAAAATAGGGCTGTTGGAGTGGCTCAAGATAAAGGCCCTGAGTTCAAGCCCCAGTAGCACATACACACACACACACACACACACACACACACAAAATGGCACCTTCAATACCAATAAACACCACTTCAGGAATTAGGTTAGATGCAATACACTTGATTTATTTCCAATTACAAAAATGCATTATCAATGCTTTCCTATACTTTGGGCAATCTAGATAATTTATTTATATTTTTCTTTGAGGGAGAAATGATCACATGGTAAGTGTGAATCTTTTAAAAAGATCTTTTTTAAAAAAAGATTTTACATGGAAACTCAGTATTTATAAAAACATACTATCATTACAACTGCCTACTGGCTTTCTGCTTTCCTAGCATCTACTCCTCCATTATTTGTAAAACAAACACAGTCCATTTGGAAATCAAGTCTATGGCCATGTTTAAGTGAAGTTACATTATGGAGTTTCACAGTGCTGCCAAGAATCACTTGACGTATTTTATTTTGTGAGATTTTAGGCACATAGCTGATGATTGGTAGAAACCAAAATCCTAGATTCCTTTATTGTGGTGGTCATGGGGTTTGAACTCAGGGCCTTGTGCTTGCTAGGTAGATGCGTTACCATTTGAGCTGCTCCACCAGCCCTCTTAGATTCCTTTTTAAATATACTAAGAATGCATGAAATACCACTGGCAGTAGTGATTAATTAATTAATTAAGTTGTGGTTTGGCCTTACTATATTATCCATAATTTGAATGATTTTTCCTACCATTCATTCGCTAACTTTTGCATTTGCTTTCTGAGAAACTAGAAATATTTGTTGTATTTTAGAGTCACAGATTTTCAATAGCATGTAACACCAAAAGGCTGAATTGCTTTCCTGTCCTCATGGATGTCATTAGCAACGGGCTCCTTGGAATTTTTAATTCTTCAGAACGCATTCAGACCGACAGAAGCATGTTTTTTGAAGTAAGTATAATTTTATTTCACTTATAATCAGCCATCAGAGTTTTCAGGAAAGTCTTTGAAAGGTGGAAGTAATATGAATTTTTATGAACCTAATCTTAATTATGTTTGATATATAAATCACCAGCTATAAACACACTATTTATCAATGATTATAAAATATCATAACCTTATGTAGATGGCTTAGGGTAAATGGAGCAACAGAAAATACAATTAATTTGGAAAAAACTGTGATTTTTTTTTGTTTTGGCCTTAGATCTGTCACCTTTTGTGACTCTAGCTAATGGCATATAGTTGAAAGAGCCAAAGTGATAAAGGTCAGACTATGCAGCCTTAGTGAATGACTTCTGTAGCCCTCAGTTCACCAATTCACAAAAAATGCAGACCACAAAAATTTCTTCTGGAGTTGGAGGTGTGGCTCAAGTGGTAAAGCACCTGCCTAAGCAAGTGTGGGACTGAGATAAAGCTCCAGCACCACCAGTTTTTTTTTCTGAAGTAAATGAGGCCATGTGATAATCAAACCAACTTGGCCAAGATACTGTAAGAACAAGAGAAAAGGCACATGAACGTAGAGAGCGGTAGGTTCTCAACAGACTGCACCTCTCATCAGTATTGCAGTTGGCATTCTTTCCCTTGGGAATGCATCACAAGAATCCCCACTGGAGAACGTTCAGCTTTGTCTAGATTCATCCAGGGTACTGGAAGAATTACAACTCGGATCATAGGATCAGTTCTGGTTTCTTTTTTTTCTCTCTCTCTCTCTCTCTCTTTGGGCAGTACTGATGCTTGAACTCAGGGTCTCCCACTTTCTAGGCAGGTCTTTCTTGTTTTATGAGGAGATTTTTTTTTTTTATCATGTACAGTTTCAAACATACACTTAAGAGAGCATATCACCTAAGGAGGCTTTAAGCCTGCCTCAACCATTATCAACAAGATTATTTTGAAGCAAATCCAGGTACTATGTCATTTCATCTTTAAATATTTTACCATATAAGATGTTTTATACAGTATAAATATTTTGTATGCTAAAGAACCTTTTCCATACTATAAGGCTTTTATCACATCTAAAAATACTTTCTTAATGATATCAAATATCCAATGTTCACATCTTTTGTTTAAAAAGCAATTTTCCAGGCCTGTTCAGATCCTCTGAGTTGGAATATCTAGGCTCAGGGAAGGGAGTGTGCAAATCTATGTCTTCAAGTCACCTCTTTCATCTTGCTATGTGAAATTTCCCTTTTTCTTTTAAAAATGACACTCTGAGTATATTCTATAGGTTTTGATCACTTTCTGTTTTTAAGAATTATTTCACCTCAATCCAAAAGTTCAATTATCTACCAAATTCAAGCACTGCAAGGTCATTCTGTGGCCAAAGGGACATGAATGGGGAAGGTGTGATTTGCTCTTTGTTTTCCTTTACAGTCTAACACCTAGGAGTAGAAAGGGGAGAGTGGCCTGGTTCTAAACAAACTGCATTTCTTTTCCCTTCAGAAAACAGTGCTGTAACTGCTGGAGGCAGAAAGGAAGGGTGGGAATATGGCTGTTTTCTTATAGAAGCAGTGCTGGGAAGACAGTCTTGCTCTTTTGCTACATCTGCCATTGCTGCCTCTACTGCAGCCCAGGTGACCCCTGGTTCTCTTGGGTTAGTGTTTGACTTCAGCCCAGTCCCTCTGACAGAGGAGGACACACTCAAGTTTGCAAAGCACTTTCACTGGGCAGCTGCAGAGAAGTATGCATGCTGTCACTCTCTCTAGTCTGTGTTGTTTACTGCTTGATGTGGCCACCATCCAGGTGGTTCAGTAATTCTACCCCTGCTTTAACCTTTGTTTCTTCAGAAAGAGCTATGGGAGCTATCAAACACTTCTTCATGTCATCTGAAAGCATATTGTAACATTATTATTATTATTGTCTCCTCTAGGGAAAAATGAGTATTTGCCATGTGGTTTACTCTTAATAACATATTTAAATGACCTACAAAAACTTTGAGATAGTTATTATTATTATTATTATTATTAATTGTGTAACTAAGGAAATTACAGTATGTAGAGGTTTACCAATGTGTTTCATTAGCTATCATATTCAGGTAGACCAATCAATTATCTGGATAATACAGAATAAGTTGTTCCCAAAATTGAGCAAGTGACTTGAGTCCCTGCCTTTAAAAATGATGTATTGGTGGGCATGGTGATACATGTCTATAATCCCAGCACTCACAAGGAATATTGTGAGTTCAAGGCCAGCCTAGCTACATAGTGAGACTTTGTCTCAAAAAGAAAAAATAAAACAGCTACAACAACAAAAGTAAATAATTAATAGGTGTTTGAAGCTACAAAATATTTAGTAATCACTCACCCTGATGACCTTGATTTTACATGGAGATAAATTCTCTCTTTGAATTGCCACTGCTGGTTTCCCACATATATGCTGGCTTTTCCTACAATTCTGCAAGTCCATTCCCCTCCATCTTAAAGCACACTGCTCATTGTAGATCAGACCTTGCTTCCATTTCCACTCGAGACTTTTAACATCTATCAGAATGTCCTACAGTGCTCCCAACCAGCCACTACGGATGAGTCCTCACTTGACCAAGCCCCCAGAGGATAATTAAGTATCTTCCTGTGGGTCTCCCTCAGACTGAGCCCCGCCCAAATGTTGACTGTGGGTGGGTATAACCTAGCATGGTATAGTATACTAGTAATGACCAGGTCATGAGTAAAGGGACTGAATATTGATACTAATTGTTTTCACCCATCCCCATCAGGAAAATCAATGATGGAATCCAAAGGCAAATACAGGAGGTGGGTGATGTAGCCCTGGGATATCCTTTCTCCCACCTTCAGGGCCTCCTCACCTTCTCATATACATTTTACTCAAGCTGTTTTATGTAATGTAAGATCTTAGAGGGACAGAGAAGAGACATGTAAGGAGACCTCAAAACTCATGGTAATACATCTTACACTGGGGTAAGGCAAGTGATGTAGCAAAACTCAAGGTCCTCTTTAATCTGTACAGGTTTTTTATTAAGATAAATTTCAATGCCTTTACATAGAGTTTGTAGACTATTTTTCTCCAGCCCCATCACTCTTATTTTTTAAAATTCACCTGTTCATTGATTTCTATCTGCCAGAGCTTAGAAGCAATATGATTTTGCTCCTTTTACCTTAGGCTGAGCCGGGGGAAAGACTCTTCATAAATGCTGAACTAAATTGCTTTGCCACTAATTTCTGAGAGTAGCAAAATAGCCCTTCTACTGATGTCTACAATCTCTATTTTCCTTTACAACATCAACCTCAACATGAGTAATCATATATGTAATGCTGTAATCATAAAGTCAGAGACTAGAAGTTGCATGCTTATTTCATAAGTTATTAACTGTGAGTCCTTAGCCAATTCATATAATCTGGTTGAATTTGCTTCTTCATGAGTGAGGATACGTGTTCAAATACCCCTCTTCCTGCAACAAAGGATTGAAAAATGAATTTGGGTAAAAATTGCAAACAGGACCTTGGGAAGGGCTTATAGTGGTTAGCCCAATTCGTTGATTTGACTGATGAAGACAGTACAAATGAGCCAGATGCCCTATTTCCACCTGCTAAGCATGTTCTGATCATTTCAGGAGCATTTGTCTTATGAACACAGTTACCCAAGCAATGCGTTCTTCTGGATACCAGTGGCTGCCTGTTTCACTCCTTACATTGCAATGAGCTGCATCGGTGACTACAAAGTAAGAAGAGTTGGCAAAGTCCTCAGATATTTGTAATGTCCAGAGAGCTCTCCTGTGAGGTTTACGACCATAGGTTTACCTGCAGGTGGTTCATCTAATTTGTATGCTATATACTACACAATGAATAATCAAGCATTTCAAACTACCTTATCAAAATATGAAGTAAATGCTATTTTTCTTAAACAAATGTGTGAGACCTCAGGAAAAGCACCTTTGGAAATATCACAACTAGTGGAGACTGATAATTTTTTACTGTGTGCCACTTAAGATTTTATTCATAGACATTTATTGACTGACAATCATATCTCCTTTTCTCAATGACGGCTTCAACTTTCAACTTGGTGGAAAATTACTCAGTTAAACATCCCTCACCAACTGACCACAGCACTTTGTCTTATTGTTGAAAAAATATTGTCTATTTTAAGCTTCATTTTTGTAATATTTTTGACAGTGGAGATGAATGGTAGTCTCTTGGTCTCACCAAAGAAAGAATTTTGGGTGAACACACAGAGGAGTTTTAACAGAGTGAGACTTACTAAAGCAGAGGCAAATGCAATGCAGTATTATACCGTCTAGGTAAGATGAGGGAGGACACCCCAAAAAAGCAGCCACATTCACCAAGCTCTTGGTCTTCGTGCACGTACATAATTGTGGAGACTTCTAAGAAATGGGAGGACATTTCCAAGAATTGGGGACTAGGGAGTGGTTTACCTAATGAGGTGTCCTCAGAGCCAAAGTGGGATTTCACGTGCCATAATGAGATGTAAATGAGGCATCTGGCTAACCTTTGGGGTTAGAAAAGTCCCAGCTAAGATCATTGTTGTGGACCATTAGTACCTGTACCAAGAAGTTGAGGATATTTGGCAAAATGTGCCCATGCAGTGCTGTGACTGTTCCCTGGCTTCGTTTGATATAATGTTTCATTGATGCCTGCCTGCTCCTATCCTGCTTTCATATAAAATTCAAGAAGCTTGTGGCAGAGTCCCTTCTACCTTTCCGTGGTACATCGAGCACCTGTGTTTTCCCCTGTCTTCGTGTCCTTGACATCATTATCTGGCACTGGCTTTGTGACAGTGAACCTTGTCACAAAGATGGACAGGAGATGTCTTTGATGGGCTTGAATTAATTTTTACTTATTCTGCTCTTAAACTATCCCCATATTTGACAACTTCTCCCATGCAAAATATAAAATTCTATTCTTCCTTTATGTCATTCACCATTTTTTTCTATTATTTGTATTCTCAATCTTTTGCACGGATTTTTAAAGATCAAACTCCCTGGGTTCAATTTTTGGCTCTTCCATTCTCAAGCTATATAAATTTTGAAAGTTGCTTATTCACACTCTGACTCAGTTTATCACTTGTAAAACACATAATGGTTACATCTACTTGAAATAGGTTTCTATGAGGACATGGTGAAATAGTACTTATGTATCACTTAGAACAATACTTGGCATATAATAACTTGCCAGTAAGTGTTAGTGTCTGACGCCCAAGTGTCCAGGGTTTACTTCTGGACCTCTTTTCAGCTATTTCCAGAATTTTCCTCTTCCATATGTACAACAGACTATTTGATATTCCCACAGAGATGAGTAGTAAATATTTCAAATATGAGCAAAAGAAAACCTTTTATTTTCTTGGCCAGATCTGCTCATCTCTCAACTTTCCCATCTCAGTAAAGGGTGCTATTGTCTACAGTCACTCTATATGAAAGTTTGGAGTTATCTCTGTTTCTCTGTCTTTTGTATCCTGAATCTAATCCATCAACAATTCCTTTACCTTCTAATTCAGCTGTGATGAATCCATCCCATTGTTCTCATCACTATTTTCATCCCGGTTAAGTTATCATTCCTTGCCTGGAGTACATCACATCCATTTGTTTCCTTATTTTCAATTAATTCCTTTTGCACCATCAGAGTGAGCTTTCAGAAGTTTAAATAAGACAATAGTCTCTGGTTAGAACCTCTAGACACTTCTCTTTTTATCTACAATTAAATCTAAACTGTTTACATTGTCTGGAAGAGGCTGCCTCATCTATCTCTTTTCTGTTTCTCTGCCTTTCCTCATGGTTGACTCCCCTCTACCTACTCTACCCTTCCTTCTGGTTCTCATACATGTTAGCGTCACTGGACCTTTCTGGCTGGAATGTTCTTTCCCTCTCTTCTTTGTATAGCTGGCTTCTTGTCACTCAGATCTCCACACAAAAATATTTTCAACTGAGACCCTGTTTTCTCAGTCTAAAATAGATCTCCCATCATGCTGTGTGAGCTTATTTAGGAAATCTGCATGAAACTTGTTATATGAATCTTTTCTTCTTTGTTAACTGTCTTCTCCCTGCTAGTAATTCTTTTCTTTTAATTCTACCTATTCCATTGTTGAATAATGGATCAACTTGCATTCTCTTACCCTTGACAGAAACCCAGGAAGTATTCCTGCTAGGGTTGTCAGATTAAATAAATAAAATTACATATGCCAAGTTGAACTTCAATATCAGATAAACAATGAGTGATTTTTTAGTATAAGTCTGTCCCAATGTATATATATATATGTATATACATTTGCTCAAAATTTTAGACCTATAATTAAAAATTAAATCAATCTCTGTGTGTGTGTGTGTGTGTGTTTTGTCTTTCTCTCTCTCATATCTATAACAAGTTAATGGTGGTTTCCTCCAACTATACTGTAACACCCTAGTCAAAGCCACCACCTCTCCTGCTTACAACAGCCTCCCTATCCATTCACTAGGGGACTTACATCTCCTCCATTTTCCACACACTGTGACAGAGTAATACATTATAGACACAAACCTAGCTGTTTTCCATCAGCTTTCTCTGCCTGAATTCCATCAGGAGTTTGTCATTGTACTGAGGAACAACAAAATCCTTGCCCTAACCTCAAAATCCATGGTGATTTTAATCCAGGTGTATATTTCTACTTCAATCTGATGCCACTATCACTTTGGCAACTGTACTCCAGCCACACCTAGTTCTTTTCTATTTCCTCAAAGCGTCAACTCTTCCTGCTGTAGGGCCTCCTCTCCTGTTCTCTCTGCCCAAAGTGCTTCCCAACTGCTACTTAGATAAGCAGGAGTTGTGTCCCAATATCCCAGGTTGCAGCACTCCTTATACCTGGAGCAATAAGTAGTTATCTAAAGGCATTGGCAAAGTGGTCAAAGTAGCTGGCCAGTTGCTAAAAGAGGGGGCTGCTCTTTGAGCCCCCCTGCTCAAAGCAGCCAGACACAATGGTCTGATTGACAGCCATCAATCAAAAAGTCAATTCAACTGGCCTCCACCAGCGTGGCTTACTTGAAAGAAAAGTAAACTTAAAAGGGTGCTTACACATTTTAGGCCATTTGAGCCAAAATGAATGCTTCTCGTAAGGGAAATTTGTTATATATCAGGAGTACTTCTATGAAAGGCATACTCAGTTACCAATGTGGAACTTGTTCAGGACTCAAACTTGTAACTTAGTTGATTTTTTTAATTTGAGTCACATGTTTGCCTGAAAAACAGAATTACAAGCCACTATGAGTAAAAATGAGTGTTTCTCCCAACTGAAAACTGTGATAGATGGGGAGTAATCCTGTGATATCCAGATTCAGTTCCCAAAGAGGAACACTGTTCAGGAGTATCAAACTTGTAATTTAGTTGGTTTTGTTATTTGAGTTACATGTTTCTCAGACAAACAGCATTATAGGCCACTATAAGTAAAAATGAATGTCTTTTCCAATGGAAATTCATTACATATGGGGAATAATTCTATGACAGGCAGACTCGGTTCCCTGAGTGGAACAGTGTGCAGGACACTCAAACTTGTAATTTAATTAGTTTTGTTCTTGGGCGTACATGTTTCTCTGACAAACAGTATTATTGGTCACTATGAATAAAAATGAATATTTATCCCAATTGAAAAGAAAAGGTGCTTACAATAAAGACCTATCATTAACATACATTTTTAACCATATTTAACAATGCTTAATACCTAGCCAATACCCTGAGGGAGAATTGGGTCATTCTTTCTGTCTGAGTTTTCTGTGTTATTAATGCCTATGAAGTAGGGGTGTGGCAAGCTGGTAGCGCCATAATAATTATAAAAGGGATATAGAAAAAAAGAATTTTGACTCTTTACTATTTCCCAATACTCAACTTTTTGACCTTCTGATGATTCTGTTGTTTCTTTATCAGAAAAAAGTTCATTCTCAGCTGTGGATTTCTGGCCTCTACCCTTCTGCTTACTGGTTTGGACAGGCAGTGGTGGATATTCCCCTGTACTTTTTGATTCTCCTTCTAATGCAAATAATGGATTATGTTTTTAGCCCAGAGGAAATCGTATTTATCATTCAAAACCTGTTAATTCAGGTAAGCGGTAAAGATTAAGAAATCTTTAAGTTTTAAGATTAAGTTTTAGTAGACTCACTTTTCAGGAATGGAGTAATAGTACTAGTCCTAAACCAAAAAATTTGAGTTATCTGTTCCGTAGTTTTGGAAAGCTGAGTAATACATATGAGTGCTTTCTTAAATAGTGTGTACCTTGTGCAACCTAAGTGTTTCTATTTTCAGAACCTGTGTAGTATTGGGTAATATATCATCCCTTGTTTTCTTGACATACGTGATTTCATTCATTTTTCGCAACGTCAGAAAAAACAGTGGCATTTGGTCATTTTTCTTCTTAATTGTAAGTATTCACATAGTGCCTATTGTTTTATTTACAAACCATTTTGAGCAAATTTGTAGCACATATTTAATCTTTGTACTAAGGGGAAGTACACATTAATATTTCTCTCTAGAAAATTCTAATTGTTCTAAGATAATCATAGACATATACAAAGTATACTGTATGTGTGAGTGTATGCCATCTATAAATGTGACTCTCAAACATGTCAGAGGTGGATACTCCCCTGAGCTAGAGACCTCTACTCCTACAGTGTCACTTGAATATTTAAAGAAGACTTCAGTAGTCCCGTATCTGAAATATAAACATCTCCTCAGTCCTATTCCTCTGCATCTCTCAATAGATTATATCACTGTTGCAGAATCCACTCAGTTTGAGTCTTCCAAAAATCTGGAAGCATCCTGTTTCTTCATTCAATCTAGATGCCTGTCCTTCAGACTCTTAATTTGTCCCATCTTCACTGTTGTATCCATTACCTACGCTTTCATCAGAGATCTGTGGCGGGTCTTTCTGTTTCTACTTTTTCCTCCTCTATGCTATTCTCTATATAATAACCAAAGTAATCTTTAAAAACAAATTTAATTGAAAATTATAGCCTGCACTTAGAAAAGTACATGTACTGTAACACAGTGAGAATCTTGAAACAAGCACTTTCATAAACCCACCAGACATACCAAGAAATGAAACATTATTCAGACCTTAGAAGGATCCATTAGGTCCCATGTCCCCAACTGTACTCTCTCCTTATAAAAATCTTTACCCTTAGTTGTAATTCCATAAATTAGTCAGTTTCTGACCTTAATAAAATTGAATCATATAGAAGGCGTTATTCACTATCTGCTCTTAATCAATGATGTCATTTAGAGTCAACGTGCTATTGTGTCTAATAACTATCATAGTAGTCCATTTTTTTCCATCACTATAGTATTGTACTAATGAATATGTTGCAACATATTTATTCATTGTTGGCATATATTCAAGTGGTTTCCTATTTTGGATTGCTACGAGTAATGCTGCCATGAAGTTTCTTGAATGCATTTTGGTTCAGTTTTGAACTGAATTAGGGTACAGTCCAAATTCTAACAATGTGCCTGCACCCTGACATTGAGATGCATTGCCTACAGGGTAAAGTGAAAGCTGATGCAGAACAGGCATGTGATTCACAGAAGAAAGCCGTGAGGCTATGTCAGGCAGAAGCTGAGTACACTGATCCATCCATCCATCCATGCCCCCAGGCTCCAAAGGCATTGATAGAAAGCATTATTCTATATCAAAATACTACTCAGAGGGAAAGATAAGCAGTAACTAGCAAGGAAAGAAAGTGTTACAGAAGAAATCAAAACTACCTTAACAAAGATCTGGACAGAGCTGAATATATTAGACATCTCCAAGGTAAAGAGATGAAATTTCTGGACTACATGAACACAGAATAGTGAATTTTTAACAAGGCATGAAGGATTAAGATAATCTCCATGAATTATCAAAAATAAGTAAATTAATAAAAGCAAAAATAGATACAAAGACAAAGCCAATCCATCGAAAGAATAATCTATGTTTTTCATGCAGTGCATATATTAGATATATGTGTACATCTAATGAAGTGATTCTATTAAATCTGTATATAAAGCTATAATAAAAGAAAATCTCCCCTAAATTCTGAAAGAATTCTATACAATGGTCAATACTCATTTAGATATGAAATATCAAAGTAAAATTACCCTAGAAGTAAATGGAAATCAACCATAAAAGAGAAAAATTAAAGTCACTCTCAGCTTTATCTTCCATAATTCTCTGTCAGTTTTTCCCAGGTCTGAGGATAAATGACATTTACCCAAGTTACAGTCCTAGGAAAGATTAGGAACAATCAAACCTGAATTCAATAAACGAAACCCTTAGGAGTTCTTTGACTATCACAGTCCACACAAACGCCACAAACAGATATTTGTGGCAACTGGCACTGTTATTCAAACTTGCCAAAACATAGAAGTAAGAAAGACATCCAAGATGCTGAATGGATAAATAAACTATGGTACACCCAAACATTAGAATTGTATTTAGCAATAAAAAGAAATGAGTTATCAAGTCATGAAAAGGCACAGACGAAACTTAATGCATATTCCAGGTGAAAGAAGGTGACTTGAAAAGATGTGATTCCAACTACGTGACATTCTGGAGAAAGAAAACTATGGGGACAGTAAGAAAATCAGTGGTTTCCAACAGTAGGTGGGAAAAGAAGATGAACAAGTGAGGATGGAGGGATTTTAGAGAAGTGAAACTACTTTCCATGATACATAAATACATGTTTGTTAACATACATCCATGTTATTACAAGTTTGTCCCAAGCCACAAAATACACAAGAGTGATGCCTCCTACAAAGTGTGCATGAAACAACTTTGGGAAAAATAGCTAAAATACATTTAAGCATTTAAATAGAAAACATTCACAAAGTTGAATGACTCCTTTTGTAAAACAAGCATAAACTTTAATAAAACCTGAGAAAAATAATGGAAAAATGAAAAATATATTTTTCTATTTTCATGCTGGAGTACATTGCGGCATTTACAAAAGTTCTTACAATATATCAAATACATCATACTTGAATTCACTCCCTCCATCATTCTCCTTTATTCCCCTTCCCCCATTCCTGAAACATTTTAACAGGTCTCATTTTTTTCCATTTTCATACATGAGTACATAATATTTACACTACATTCATCCTCCTTCACCTGTTCCTTATATCCTTCACCTTCCAACTGATGTACACAGTATTTGCACCATGTTTACCTGCTACACCCTTTCCCCACATCTTCCCCCAACACTCTGGTTCCAGACAGAACCTGTTCTACCCTCCTGTAAAAATAGAAAACCTTGATACATTCACTTAGAAAAATAAAGGATAATTCTCTAATGAAAAGAAAAACAAGCACAAAGGTGTATTAAAATAATAATGACAATAATAAGCCATCAACAATGATTGATTCCAGGATGTGGCCCAATATTAGCAGCTATCAAACTAAACAAAACCCCACAGGGTAAGAAAACATACATTTTCCAAAACTGATTACTAAAAACCAATGGCAAATATCATACTAGATGATAGGAAGATACATTATTTACCTAGCATCAGAAATAGGGCAGGCTTCCCTACCATAATTAATCATAGCATCCTACATGAGTTATGATATAATGTGCACTCTGATTTATGGCTATTAAGGGAACAGACAGTTGAAATCTTTTTAAAAAATAATGCTAGTAGCAGTAGAAACTTTAAATGTGTATAAATTTCAATCTGCAATCACATTATTTTAGAATATCTCCTTTGAAACTAAAAGTGTCAACAAAGAATTAATGTAGACCATAATTAATAGGACCAGAAAAATTGAAAACAAAATGTATTCTGAAGGCAAAAATGTGAACTCTTGCATATCTATTCAAAGACATATAATTCCATTATGACAATGAATAACTAGTACATTAACACCTAAAAAGATATCCATAACCTATGTTGAAATGAAAAGAAAGAAAAACGTAGAGAAACACATAACAAAGGGCTCTTTCATCAAACTCTGGATTTTAGCAAAAACCCCACCTGATTTGTATGCACATCAACTTTGAGAAGCACTACTCTGTCTATTAAAGCATTCATATTCAGTGCAATAGAATTTTAACATAACCCTATGTCACAAAAAAATATGGTGGCAATAGCAGATAAAAATTGAACCTAAGAACAATAATGAAATAAATTCCTAAGCTCTCAGAAAACATCCTACAATTCAGGTTGTTAAGCTTTAGTGACACTAATCTCTGCTTTTATTTTAGGTTACCATCTTCTCAATAGTTGCTACAGATTTAAATGAATATAGATTTCTAGGGCTCTTTTTGTGTACTATATTAATACCGCCCTTCACACTGATTGGCTCACTATTAATTTTTTCTGAGGTAAGTCATTTCAGTCTGGTTTGAGTATGATCAAATGTGTGCCCATTAGAGAAAGCTTTGAATATTGCAAAAAGTGTAGGTGGAGTCAACCTGTAGCTGTGCAAAGTTTGAAGTATTTGTTTCCAGAAAATTATTCTCTTATTATAGGGAAGGGATGTGTTCTTGTGGAAAAGGAAGCTCTGCCTTCATTCATGAAAGTTAAAGGCAACTGCATGGTAGTAGCATTTTATAGTTCTCATGATAATTCTCTCTTCCTGGAACCCTGCTGTGAGGCTGACTAGATCCCATCTTCTGATATATTTTTGACATATTAGATTTAAAGTTCCTAATAGCTACATGAAGAGAAATGTTAAGCAGCCAGTTGGATATATACTCAATGTGTCATTGTATGGAAGAGATTGAGACAATTATAAATACTTAAGATTAATCAGTTTATTGATGGTATTAAAATCCATAAAATTGGATAATATAACCAAGATTATAAGAATACATAGAAATGAAAACAGGGTCAAGGCCTTGACCTAGAACTCCAAAATTTAGAGATTGGGAAGACGAGGAGTCAACAAATCAGCTTGAACAAGTCAGAAAGATATAAAGATTGTGGCTTTTTTGTGCATCATAATCTCTGCAGAAACTCTTCTAAATATTAAATATCAGCTTATAAACGTGTGTGCCAGATGGCACCAAAGAATGTTTCAAGAAGGAAGGAGGGTGATGAAATCATCAAATGCTGCTGAGAGGTCCAGAAATGATGCTAACTAAAAAAGAGACTATTGGATTTAGGGACATGAAGGGCATGGGTGAAATTAGCAAGGTTAATTTCAATGAAAGTGTCAACACAAATGTCTAGTGACCTTAGTAGAGAATGTGAAGTGAGAGTAGTTACAATGAATATAGGCCAGTATTTCTAGGAGTTTTGCTTTAGGATAGCAGAAAGATGGAAAAGTAGATGAAAGCAGAGGGTAGATATTTTTGTTTGTTCTAAGGATGATACTGTGCTTATATGAGCTACACAAGAGAAATCTGTGATAGAAAAGATAGATAAGGGCGACCTAAGGAGTAAAGCTCCTGAGCAGCTGAAAGAAAGCCAACAACAAGCAGTGCACAAGTGGAGGGTTGTTGCCCATAAAAGCAGGAACCTTCCATGTGTTCAATAAGATAATGCCAGTGTGTATGAAGATAGAAGAAAGTAGTTCAATGACTTTGGTGACTTTCGTGGTACAAGATGCATCTTTTGAAGAACTGTATTTTCTTTCTTTTTTTTTTTTTTTTGTAGGTTGTGTTTTCATTTTCATTGACTTCCAGGAACTTTTTAATTTCCTCTTTTTTTTTCATTTTTCTTTTATTATTCATATGTGCATACAAGGCTTGGTTCATTTCTCCCCCCTGCCCCCACCCCCTCCCTTACCACCCACTCCGCCCCCTCCCTCTCCCCCCCCTCAATACCCAGCAGAAACTATTTTGCCCTTATTTCTAATTTTGTTGTAGAGAGAGTATAAGCAATAATAGGAAGGAACAAGGGTTTTTGCTGGCTGAGATAAGGATAGCTATACAGGGCATTGACTCACATTGATTTCCTGTGCGTGGGTGTTACCTTCTAGGTTAATTCTTTTTGATCTAACCTTTTCTCTAGTACCTGTTCCCCTTTTCCTATTGGCCTCAGTTGCTTTAAGGTATCTGCTTTAGTTTCTCTGCGTTAAGGGCAACAAATGCTAGCTAGTTTTTTAGGTGTCTTACCTATCCTCACCCCTCCCTTGTGTGCTCTCGCTTTTATCATGTGCTCATAGTCCAATCCCCTTGTTGTGTTTGCCCTTGATCTAATGTCCACATATGAGGGAGAACATACGATTTTTGGTCTTTTGGGCCAGGCTAACCTCACTCAGAATGATGTTCTCCAATTCCATCCATTTACCAGCGAATGATAACATTTCGTTCTTTGAAGAACTATATTTTCTTAGGGAAATAATAAGCAAAGTCACCAACTGAGAATGAGGTGGCCAAGAGTGTGGGGGGTGTTGAGATTTTGAGAACAGAAGATACAAAAAAATATTTTAGGAAGTGGGTCATGGGATTGATAGATCTACTAAAAGACACTCTACCCCCTTTTTTCAAGTGAAATCAGCAATTTAGAGTTTTTCTTGTATGGTCTGCTTTCAGATGCAGTTTGTGGCACGTAGAGAATGAAATTCAATCAGGGTTGGAAATTTGCCCAATTTGTGTGACAAAGAAAAGATAGGGGAGCATCAGTTCTGTCAATGACTAAGGATTCTAAACTGGGAACAAAAAAGTAAGGACATGAGAGGGAAAAGACATTGGTGGGTTGGAGTTTCACTGACTCCAAATTGTGGAGAAAAGACAGTAGAGTAAGGAAGCTAAAAATTTTGATTGTAGAAAGGGCAGAAATCAAGGAGCACGAAGTTCATTTTATATGGGATGCAATTATCAGAAGTGGGCAGCTGAGACACTTAGGAAAACAGTATCAGTCATGGTTGTAGTAAATCATATATCACCTTTGTTAGAAGGTGGATGACTATGAAGGTTAAAAATTTACACAAAGGACTTAAAATTACTTAGAAAAAAGAGTTGATAAACATACCTGAGGAAATGAAATTAACCTCTTTTCCTTTTATTCATAATGAAATGAAATACCTTTATTGGGGGCTGTTGGAAAAATAAATTTATATGTGTACATGTAAAGTCCAGGTGAAGAATTTGTCTTTGGTTCTTAAAAGTGGATTGAGAGAACAAGGAGAATATCATGCTTTTAGGGTTCTTAGGGATAGAATAGAAGGAAGGCACACGAATGAGAAGAGAAAGACAAGTGAGGAGAGGGGAGACAGACTAGCTCGGTTTCAGTGGGTCCTTCCAGCACCTCTAATGCACAGCGATACGATATCTAAAGGGCCTTGGCCTGTAGACAATTCCAAGTTGACAGTTCACTGAGACACATTGGAAATGAGGTCATAGTCACAATTAGAAATTGACTTTTTCCCAAACAAAGGGAGAATCAGGAAGAATGATAAAACCATTTAAGGGACATGAATTGGAGATAGAGATGTGGGTCAAGCAGTAGAGTCCTGCCTCACAAGGGAAGCCCTGAGTTCAACCCCCTGGGGGAAGGGAGGCATGAATGTATCTTAAGTGAGGTAAGTTCACATTCAGAAGATGGTTCACTTAAACATACTTTCTCATTTTACAGATTTCTCCTGATGCCATGGATTACTTAGGAGCTTCAGAATCTCAAGTAGTATTTCTGGCTTTGCTTATAGTAAGTTTTTTTTTAACAACTCACTTGAGGGGATAGAAGCTTTGTATGGTTTGGGTTTCTTTGAATTGCAACAAATTGAAAAAATGTTTGGCCATTTTGGGCATCTGAAGCAACACACACTCACACAGTCACATACAATGGATTTTCAATCTGAACCACTGACACTATGCACAATGTTCCAGTGTGGATATATAAGTCTGTGTTTCATAGAATTTCACTCCATCTTTCACCATTTTCAATTTAAAGCCACATTCATGTTTGCTCATAATACACTATCATGCTGTATGGTAGTGATCACCCAATGCAAAGCGCAAAGCTGAGACTCTAAATGGCATTAGTAGAGTACTGGTGTCAACTTACTACTCCTAGCTGTATGATATGCTCTCTCTAAAGAATAGAAACACGGATAACAGTGTTTCTTGTAGAAACACTGCCAGATTTTCTTGTAGCCTACTGAAAATGTTATTAAATGTAATTTTATACATGATCAACCTTCTGAAATCAAGTCCAATATGTAAGACATTGTCTTTGTGATGATACCAATTTTGATTATCTTTCTTTTTCCCCAGCCTTACCTCCATTTTTTCATTTTCCTGTTTGTTCTGAGATGTCTGGAGAAGTACTTTGGGAAGAAATTGCTGAGAAAGGATCCTGTGTTCAGGTTAAGAAAATTCAAATACAATGTCATGTCATGTTTTAATCTTCATTCTTGGGAAACATTTTAATGTATACCAAGTAGGTAAAAAGGGCTTTCCAGGATTGTTCTCAGAGCATGAAATAAAATTACTATATTTCAAAATTATCATACAAAATTATTATAATATACAAAATTATTATAATTCATATTCAAAAAATACTTTATACAAAATTATAATAGTTTTTTATTGTATACAAAGTGGTATAACTCATGGTTTTACAGTCTAGTGAGTGAGACCACATTGGCACACATGAGACACTGGAAAATTAGGTCAGGCTGCAATTTCACTAGCATACTTGAGGAAAATTAATTATATGCAACATGTAGAATCTTCAAAAAAAGATGGGCGGGTATAGGTAAACAATTGGATAAGTGTGGCCAATCCAGGAATTAAATACAGTGTTAAAAATAAGAGAAAGGTTGAGATACATACATAGTCTTTTCTTGTAGATGTGAAACAACAGTTGGAAAGAACTTAAAGGTTTGTGTTGGATGATAACAGAAGATGAAACTGAAGTCAGATATCCAAGGATCTTGAAGTAGGGAAGCATAGGGAAAGTTTGACAAATTACTTAAGAGGGAAATAAGACTCAGGGGTGTCTTATATTTTGTGTGGACTCAACTCTAAAATTGTTGGTAGGCTAAAAGAATGGCAAGATGACGCCATATTTTAGGGAAGCAATTAATCACAGTAATTTGGGGCTACCAAGTGAAACATACATGAATCATCAGGAGTTGATGGTGGCGAGATGAAAGAAAGATTGTTGGCAGTGAGGAAAGAGTGATTCTGACACGACTTCCAAAAGGTGACAGTGTTTAGTAACTGAGTAGACATTAAGATCGTCATCAAATGTCCTGGATTTTTGAGGCATATTGTTGATAAAACCTTCAGAATTTACAAAATACATGAGTCAAAATTAGTTTCTAGATTCTTTTTCTCATGCCATCCTGCCTCAAAATCCTTTGTCAGAGGGTGTGTCCTTCTGCTTCATTTGAATAAAGACATCACCAACAGAAGAATTACACTTGGGTTAAGAGCAAAGGTGGTGTTATTTGACTCACTGATGGAAAGAAACTAGGCTAACTGAAAGGCAGATGGTAGGTCATAGAAGAATGGTGATTGCCCTATGGTCCTAGTTAATTGTTCCCCACATTGGTAGCGGTGTAGATAGAATTCATTTTCTGTTGCAAGCTTTCAAATGGAAGCCTGTCATTATCATGCTGTTTTGATTTTAGAATTTCTCCAAGAAAGAGTGATGTTTTTCCAAACCCAGAAGAACCTGAAGGAGAGGATGAAGACATTCAGAGGGAAAGAATGCAAACAGCAAATGCTGTGAATGTCTTAGAAATGGATGAGGTAGAACTTGCAAAAATATTCTTCATCAAATAATTTTGCCTATTAGATAAAATAAGCAACACCTTAATCTTAATTTTTGTAAAACACTTGAGATTCTTTCATCCTTACACATGTAGTTCATTACTTGACTTCAGTAGGGATGCAATGCCCTCAAAGCTAAGAGAACAAAGGAAACACACACACTCATACACTCACATATATTCACATCCACACACACTCATACACACACATTCTTTTTTTTATTGTTTTATTACTCATATGTGTATACAAGGCTTGGGTCATTTCTCCCCCCTGCCCCCACCCCCTCCCTTACCACCCACTCCACCCCCTCCCTCTCCCCCCAACCCCTTCCATACCCAGCAGAAACTATTTTGCCCTTATCTCTAATTTTGTTGAAGGAGAGTATAAGCTATAATAGGAAGGAACAAGGGTTTTTGCTGGTTGAGATAAGGATAGCTATACAGGGAGTTGACGCACATTAATTTCCTGTGCGTGTGTGTTACCTTCTAGGTTAATTCTTTTTGATCTAACCTTTTCTCTAGTTCCTGGTTCCCTTCTCCTATTGGCCTCAGTTGCTTTTAAGGTATCTGCTTTAGTTTCTCTGCGTTAAGGGCAACAAATGCGAGCTAATTTTTTAGGTGTCTTACCTATCCTCACCCCTCCCTTGTGATACACACATATTCTTGCACACACATGTATTAACTTGTTAACTTCTTTTTCAGGTTCATAATTTTGATAAATATAGGTCAACATTAGAAAAGCTAAGTAAAATTTTGTGAGTTTCAAAACCCAAGTAAACCTCAGTCCAAGTAATTCAGAAGAAAGAGCTCATTTAAGCATCTATGTGCTTGTGTGCATATGTGTATGTGTGTGTCTTAACAAATCTATTGATTCAATGAATACCTTCATTGTCTGTCTGAGGAAGTGAAAGCACAAACCATACAATGATGCAAATATCTTTTCCTGCAGAAATACAGGTTTGAGAGAATTTTCTTGAAAACATCAGTTTCTGGAGGGCAGGGGAGTGGTTTGGTTCATGATTCTATATAGGGAAAGATTCTGTGGAAAGACTGAGGATCACTCACTCAGTCAGAGGTGGAAATAAGGCATGCATCTATTTACTTGGTTTTACAGAAACCAATCATCACTGTCAACTGTCTACGGAAGGAATATGCTGGCAAGAAGAAAAATTGCTTTTCCAAAAGGAAGAAAAAAATTGCCACAAGAAACATCTCTTTCTGTGTTAAAAAAGGTTGGAAACAACAGTTGTGTTAGTAGAGTGAGCTTGACCTCTGAAGATTGGTTTTTTTTTTTAAGGATTTAGAGTATCTGCATCTGCTGTTGTCTATTGGTGAACATGAAAGGCGGCCAGGCAAAAGCTGCTCCTTCCTGTGTCCAAGCCTCAGTTATAATTATAGCAGTTTTTATTTGCATGGGAAAACAATGACATCTGTTCTGTTAAACAAACAGAACAGCAACAACAAAAGAGACAGTCTTTGTGTTAAAAAGGATGGTACAGATTTTATTTTACTTTATTTTCAAATATACCTACATCTTTCCATCTATCTACCTCATGCATGGTAGGCAAACAACCCACCACTGAGCTACACCCTCAGTTCTGGTGCAGATTTTACAGCAACATAATTTCATGATGAATGGGAGCTGACTGAGGTAGAGTGGTGTTGTCTAGCAAGCAGTGCATGCTATTTGAGTGTTGGTTAAATGCAACAAGCTTCAGAATTAAAATTTAGGCTGACTGCAGGGACTCACACCTGTAATCCCAGCTACTGGGGAGGCAAAGATCTGAAGAATCACAATTTGAAGCCAACATGGAAAAAAGTTAGTGAGACCCCCATCTCAATCAACAGAAAGCTGTGTGTAGTCATCCTAACTAAGTGAGAAATATAAATAGGCGAGTCATGGTCCAGGCTGCCCCAGGCATAAATGCAAGACCTTATTAAAAATAAAGTGAAAAGAATGAGGAGGATGACTCATGTGTAAGAGCTCCTGCCTAGCAAGTACAAGACCCTACCTTGAAGTCCTAGGACTATCAAACAAAGAAAAGAATTGAAATTTATTTCAAATTCCAGCTCAGTCTCTTATTGATTTACCCTAGAAAATTTACCTTAGCAAGTTAATTATGCTTATTAACTCTCAGCTTCCTCACCGCTAGTAACAACACTGTGTGGTGTGTGTGTGTGTGTGTGTGTGTGTGTGTGTGTGTGTGTGTAGAATAAGTGAAACAATGTATGTAGCACACTACATATAGTGCTCGATACAAAGTCCTTAAATGGTATTGCTTTTGTTTTTGTTGTCATTACTTGCATATTTCTGCCCATTTCTATTTCTTTCAGGTGAAGTTATAGGGCTGTTAGGACACAATGGAGCTGGTAAAAGCACAACAATTAAGATGATAACTGGAGAGACAAAACCCACTGCAGGGCAGGTCAGTAAAACACCCAGAGATAAGGCCATTAGCACTGCCTTGAATGAACATTTTATAATGAATATTGATGGTAACCTTAAAATATCTAGATGACCCTAATCAGTCAGTGTGACTTACACATTGAATGAAGAGGATTAGTTAATTTTTTTCTTCTTAATTCCACAAACAGTTATTGAGAAGGACTTGTCCTATCTACTCTATGCCCTTTCTTGAATAATGACTAGGGACATGAATGGAAATATATATTCCTTGAGATGAGAGATCTTTGGTTTTTTTTTTTTTTTGCCTTGTTTATCCCCAAAGATGGTTAAAATGAATTGTCTCATCCAGCATCACACTAGGAACCTGTCAGAATGACAAGTTCCACTAATGTGGTTGAAGTCATGAATCTGTATATTGAACAACTATTCTCTACTTTCACGCTGCAATTAAAGAGTATGTGTGATTGCCGGGGAAAAGGATCACAGTTTAAAGCTGACCAGAGCAAAAGCATGAGCCATTATCACAAAAACAAGATGAAAAGCCAAAGGACGAGGGGTGTGGCTCGAGTGGCAGAGTTACTGCCTAACAAATGAGAGCCCCTGAGTTCAATCCCTAGTACCTCCAAAAGAGTATGTGTGATTTATGGAATAAGAATCCATTAGCCAGCAGAACTGCATAGGTCTTCACCGAGATCGTGCACAATAGATAAAATTTCTTATCGTTATTGACACACAACCTAATCCAATGGACATAACATATGACTGGCACCATTAAAATTAGCAGGAGAAGATGTAACTGTGGATACAGTGAAGTTCTTGAAGCTCAACAGTGAGGCTGGGCTAGTGGCAAAAGATCTAGGATTTATTAAGGCAACAGGCATCACAGATAAGAAAAAAATTAACAATTACCTTAATCGCAAGGAAAAAGCCAGAATAATATATCAATTACACTTTTCTAGGCTCAATTGGGTGAAAGGTGGTCTACCAAAGGTTACAACTCTGGAGGGAAAATACCATTGACATTTGACATGAGGTTAAATAAAGTCAGAGGAGTTTTGAGCAAGAAAGCTCACAGGGTGGTGTTGACGGCTACAGATGTCTCCTAAATTGTGTTTGCTTTTGCACTATTGCTTCACACAGCAGTTAGAGCAACCATTAAAAGATGTAGCTGAAGTTGTGTCACTCTCTTGATTATAAATTCTCACTTATATTTGATCAAAATCTTTTTATCATGGCTGCAAAGGACATGATGTGTGCTCTGTTGACTGTTTTTCACACCCTCCATCCCTCACAAGATGGACCAGAGTTACTGTAGGACCTTTGGGTTTGATCACCCTGTGGATAGAGTACATGTCATCTGCTTGGTTACCTCCTTACCCTCGCTTTAAAGCATACCTCTCCCAAAGGCCTCTTCCTGACTATGCTGTTTCCTTTATTAAATCCTCCATATTGTTCTTAGGCAAACTTCTTTCCTTAAAAGCATTGAACAGAGGCTTAATTGGTGCACTTATGTGTTTACTTGTGCATTTTCTGTTTCTCTCTAAAATGAAATCTATTGGAGACTCTCTCTTTTTTTGTGCTGGAGAGAAACAAGATAGCATGAAAGTCAAGGTCTTAAATCCTAAAGCTAGATCCCAGTTTCAGGTCTCAGGTTTACCTTCTGTGACTTTGTGCACGTTTCTTAATCCATGCATGTGTTCGTTTTCACACAGGTAAAAACAAGAATGATATAACTAACACACAGGGTTTCTGTAAGGATCAAGCACTGAGTACACATTAGCAATTAAAGTTCTTATACAGCATGGTGCCTAGCTCACAATAATAATAAATGCTATCATAAATTTATTGTTTCCTATGTACCAGACATAGTGCTAAAGTGCCTTATATTTATTCTTCAGTGTAGGATTCCTCAACTTTGTAACTAGTGATGTTTTGGGTCAGACAATTTTCCTTATTAGCATCCTTGCTGTCCACCCACTACCTGCCAGTCTCATGCCCTTCCTACCACAGATACACACACAACTTGTGACAACCAAATATATCTCTAGACATTGCTAAGTATATGCTAGGAGGAGATGGGCCTCTGACTGAGAACCAGTGCCTTCTTGTGAGATAACTCCTATGTAACTGTTTGTCACTGGGGAAATAGAACCTGTGGCAAGTATTTCTTTTTGGGTCAATGACTGAAGTCAAGTGATGCACAACCAAATAAGCAGCCTTAAATTTAACCATGATGGTACAATTAGTAAGAACTTGTAAACTATTTTGTGGGGGAAATATCTATGTGCCATATTTGTCTTTTAAGTTATTGAGTATCTTATCATCTTTTTCCTAGAGCTAAGTGGTTACTTCCTTGCTCTTATAGCCTTAGCACCCATGGCATAAAGAGAGCATCACTGAAGTATAAACTCACGCACATACATACAATTTTGAACAGAATCTGAGAAGGAACTTCTTTTTGTGTAGGTGATTTTGAAAGGGAGCAGCAAGGGGGGCACACTTGGGTTCCTGGGGTACTGCCCTCAGGAAAATGTGCTGTGGCCCATCCTGACTGTGAGGGAACACCTGGAAGCTTATGCTGCTCTGAAAGGGCTGAAGAAAAAGGATGCCTCAGTCACCATTACACGGTAACTGAAGATGTCACACCACTCCCTGCTGGGTGTGTGTAATACTAATGATGTTCACAGACCGTTAAAGAATAGCGCTTCTAACTCATGACCCTTGCTTGTGGGGAAGGCTTCATCATCTAGAACCACAGCTACACCATAGGAGTATCCTAGGTGGTTTCAAAGTTATGGCCACTCGACTTAAAAAACTCTCCATGATAGCATGTGTTTTGACTTGATTATTCTCCCACATGCATTCCCCACTGCTCTTACATAATAAAGATTGACTCACTGTGTTTCCTCCAGGCTGGTGGACGTGCTCAAGCTGCAGGACCAGCTGAAGGCCCCCGTGAAGACCCTGTCTGAGGGAGTAAAGAGAAAGGTACGGCCAGGGCTCCATGTGGCTCTGTGCACCCCTCAGACCGGTGCCCCACAGTCTGTCCCTCTCATTCCAGCTGTGCTTCATGCTGAGCATCCTGGGGAACCCGTCAGTGGTGCTTCTGGATGAGCCATCCACCAGGATGGACCCTGAAGGGCAGCAGCAAATGTGGTGAGGAGATATCAAGGGCAAACCCTATGGGGATTTTTGAATCCTGTAGCAACTGACCTTCAAAATCATTTTGGTTTTGGCTTAAAAACAGAAAGATATTTATCCATCATCAAGAAAAGCAACACTAAGAAAAAATACCAATTTCATATCTCAACCAACAGTTCTCATTAAAGAGAAAAAGCTGTATTCTTCCAACCTAATGTACATTCTAAGAATTTTGTTTTCGACTTAGGTCTTCTGGGTATGCATGGGGCATATGTTATCAAATTAATTGTTGGAGCTTTAAATCTTTCTGCAACATCACTTAGCACACAATTCTTATTGAGGGTAAAGTAAGCATCCCAAGTCCTTAATATAATACTTAATTATTTTTGGAAATTTTACAATCTGTCATTTTGTACCTTTATAATATATGTTATAATTATCACATATTTTAATGATTCTCATTTTCTGTCTTTCTTCCCTCTGTCTTCTCATAAATGCTCTGGTAAGAGCATTTTTATAAAAACAGCCTTTTTGCCCACTAACATCCTCTATGTTCATCGCAAGCCATTTTCTAAATTACATGCTCTAACACTTATTTCCACACCTGTCATTCCTACAAAAATCCCATCTTTGCTCTAGTGTGAGTCCACTTTTTGTTTCATATGTGTGATAAAGGAAATTTCTTTTTTACAAAAAATTCCACAATACCTTGAGTGTTCCCTTTAGTTATCATGTCCCTTTGATGTATCTCTAGACAGGCAATCCAGGCCACCATCAGAAACACAGAGCAGGGCGCCCTCCTGACCACCCACTACATGGCAGAGTCTGAGGCCGTGTGCAATCGGGTGGCCATCATGGTGTCTGGAAAGCTGAGGTGAGTCCCCATCCAGGCCTGCACTTGGCCCCCAGGTTACCTGCTCTGTTATTACCACTCTGAAGAGCCGGAGAGGCTGCTCCCAGCCCTTCTCAGCCCTGCTCTTGGCCTCCAGATGACAGCAAAGGCAATAGATTTCCCTGCTTGCCTTGCTTTACTTCATCCTCCTCCTGCCTCCAGGTGTATCGGCTCTATCCAACATCTAAAAAGCAAATTCGGCAAAGAATACCTGCTGGAAATGAAGGTGAAGACCCTCGCACAGGTAGAGCCCCTCCATGAGGAAATTCTGAGACTTTTCCCCCAGGCTGCTCGGCAGGAAAGGTAAACATGAGTGTTTTGTTTTATCTTGGTCTCCGGTTGGCTTTTCTATTAAAAAAAAGGATGAGAAATAAAAGCTTTATTCTTTCATTTATTTTTTAGCTTTGTGCTAATTGCCAGTATTTTAATTACTAGAAAAAGAGTTCCAAGAACCACCACAGAAGAAAAATAAGACAACAAAGTGCTGATCTGGAGGCTGACACTTTTGTTTTTGGTGGTACTAGGTTTGAACCAGAGCCTTGTGCGGGTGCTCCACCACTTGAGCCACACCCCAGCCCTTTTTTGATTTAGGTGTTTTTGGGATAGGGGCTCATATTTATGCCGGAGTCATCTTGGGCTATGCTTCCTGCATAGCTGGAGTTTGCAAGTGTGTGCCACTACATCCAGGTGTGTTTCTGTTGTTTGTTTTTCTTTTGTTGTTTTTGTTGAGATAGGGTCTCACTTGCTTTTTTGCTTGAGCTGCCTCAAACCACAATCCTGATCTCTGCCTCTCAAGTAGCTGGGATTGCAGGCATGAGCCACTGTGCCCAGCCTGGAGGCTGACTGTTAAAGGAATTACCATTTATAAGGACCATATAATGTACCAGGTTCTATTCTACACATGTGCTTAGATAACCTCAGTAGCCCTGTCTAGGGCATTAAACCATCTCCTACTAAAGGAGAGCCCCTGAATAAAGCCCATGCCTCAGTACCAGGCATCCATTAAAGTTCGGTGAATGGTGTTCCAACATTTTCATTAGTATAGGTAACAGCATTTTAAGTGTAAGTAGGTTAAGTAATACCAAATAACTAGTGGTGGAGCCTGGAGTTGAACCTAGTTCTCTTTTGCTTAAAAGTTTTTCTCTTCTCAGTGAGGAGAAAGATATGTAATTTTGTTTGCTGCCTTCTTAAGGCATAGGTGCTGTCTATTTCCTTCCTTGTCTCCCAGGCCTTCTCTTAGTGGATTGACTTCTTATTGATCAAAGAGCATTTATGCTGGGGTTATTTCCAAGACCATATAGATGTGACTATTTAAACAAATTGTGGACAAGACTGTTGCTCCTTTTCAGACCAGCACCCATCCCAGGTTGTGACCTTGAAACCTCGAGATGAGTCTCACTCTCACTTCTTCACAGGTACTCCTCCCTGATGGCCAATAAGTTGTCTGTTGAAGATGTATGACCTTTATCACAGGCTTTCTTCAAACTGGAGATAGGTAAGTGACTGTTTAGAGGAAGTCTCTGAGACAAAGTCAAAATAGCATTAAAAAATATACAAACATAGAATTGTGATATTTCATCATAAATAAGTCACTAAGATTTATAATCCAGTTGTTTTAATAAGGGGTGATTTGGCAATGTGTGGGGATATATTTGGCTTTGACAAATAGAGGTAGGACAACAGGGAACAACTGACATTTTGAGAGTCAAGGCCATGGATGATTCTAAATATCTTATAATGCAAAGCCCATTCCCCACAAGAACAAGTGATTTGACCAAAATATCATGTGTGCTGAGGTAGAGAAACTTGCCCTAACTGAACAAGACTCTGGAGGAAAGAGATTACTGAGTCTTGAAACTGGAGTAACCACACATTTATAGAAAGAAAAACATACAAACTTGTTTTGTCTTGAGGTATTCTTGGATAGCATTAGCTGCCGATGAGGGAGTTCCTCTTTCTGTTCTGCTGAGCTAATCCATGACTCTTTTGTAGGCCCTTGGATTTTGGTTTTGGCATATGCCATTGATCTAACATATGGAGTTGGTTTTTACCTGTCATGTTAGTGTGAAAAACACCATGTGTTGCACACTCTCCCATGAGTACTCTTGAGTTGCACCTTCTAACTTGCCACCTGCCTTCATTGCATTAAGAACCACCCAGATAAGTTTTCTTTATTCATCTTGATCTATTTTCTATACTGATCATTTTGGCCAGAATTGCATCATTTCATTGGGAAGTATTCCCACAGTGGGCTGTGATAAACAAGAAGTATTTTGTAATGGGTTAGTAGCAGAGAGACTGATGTTCCTGGAAGGTTGCCTTCCTAGAGTACAAAAGAACCTTTATTTAAAAGCCTTCTAATGTTTCTGCTTTCAACAATGTTCTTTACCCCAAATTCCTTCCATTCTGCTTAATTTACTAAAATTGTCATGCTCATTTAGGAGGGAAAAAACACTTTTTATGACAATTTCCTACCCCATTATGTGAAGACAACACAAAGTACAAAATGTGAAAACGTAGATAGCATTCATTTTCTCCAAGTGTCACTAGGTACTATTATATTCTCAGCTGCAATACATTCCTCAAATGAGCTAGCCCCAGTACTGTGCAAACAATACACACGTTCCATGACTGATCTTTTGTCCTGTTATATAGATTCATTCTTTCATACCACAAGATCACATTTGGGTAATGCATACTCAGCAAAACTCTGGCATCACAGGCCTCTCCCTGGTCAGACTTGCCTCCAATATGGAGATCTACAGCTAGAAACATGGGATGGTCAGTTTTACCTCTTATTCTACTTCCCTCCTATGCTGATTTCCTGGAACTCTCTGGGTGGAGTGAAAGGTAAAGGGAGAAGAAATAACATGGCAGCAAGGTTGGTTTCATCTTTAGCAATATAATGTAGCATCAGGGCCTCCTGACAGAGTACAGTTGCAGTGCAATATCCTGAGGTTAAAACCAACAAAACTATCATCACCATTAGGTCCAAAAAGACAGATATAGGAAGTCATGTAGAATTTATCACCTTGAGAGAAATAATGGCCTTCAATGAAGGGACACATTTGATGTCAGAGAAGAAGAAAAAGAGTAAGTGCTGTGACCGTCCCTCTCCTCTGTCCTCCCTGCTGGTATTTTCATTGTTAGAATTCACCAGGAGACATCTTTTAATATCAGCCTCTGTAGATAGAAAGGAATGAGGGCAGATGTAGGGGGCACAGGTCATTTTGCAGTACAGACAGAACTCTGTCTTAGTTTATCCTGCGTTGGTGTTCTGGAACCTCTTATACTGTTTTCTTATATTGTCTTCTGGTGCCTCTAACAAAACTCTGAGGAAATTGGACAGTATTTCTATGCTATTATGTGGCAATATGGTATATTTATTTTCCAATATTTAATCCAAGAATATTTGTTACCTTATATTTAAAATCTACTCATATATACTTTTTGTACATTACTTGGTAACATTACCTAAGTAAAAAGTATATGAACTTTTAATTTATATTCTGTATATTCATCCTTACACAGTTAAACAGAGCTTCAACTTGGAGGAGTACAGCCTTTCACAGTCCACCCTGGAGCAGGTGGGTCAGTGATTGTTATACCACCTGTGGAATATAGGTGTACAATACACATACCATTTCCTCTTTCTATCTATAGAAGCATTCTTTTGTTCCTCTTGTTATTTTTCTACTGTTACAGGTCTTCCTGGAGCTCTCCAAGGAGCAGGAGCTGGATGATTTGGATGAGGAACTTGATCCTTCCATGAAGTGGAAGCTCCTGCCTCAGGAAGAGCCTTAGAGCTCCAAATACTCTGTTTCTCTTCGAGCCTACATATTAGTTAGACTTTGGTGTCACTGTGACAAAATACCTACAAAACAACTGAAAAGAGGATTTATTTTAGCCCAAGGTTTGAGAGATTTCCATTTGTAGTACTTGGATCCATCGATTTTATGCACACGGGGAAGCAGAACATCAGGGCGGCAGGAGCGTGATGAAGGATGTTCTTCCCCTCATGATGGACAGGGAGCAGAGAGAGAAAAAGGACTGGAACCAAGTATAATCTACTACTTCCTCCAATAGGTTCCACCTCTTGAAGTTTCCACCACCTCCCACGATAGAGCCACCTGCTGGAGACCAAGTATTCAACACACATGGAAGACATTTCATACCCAAACCATAATGGCTTGTGACTCTTTTAAAGACAATATTCTATAGCACTAATGTACCTTATCTCAGATGTACCACTGAATAATTTTGAAACTCATTTAATATTTTTCTCAATATTTCTTACAATTTGGCCGGTAGGTGAAGTCTGTGAGAGCAAGGATGAGCCGGAAGGCAAATTAACCATGCACATGGTGCCAGCAACCAAATCTCATTTTCACAGTTTAAAATGTACTTACAATAGAATTGCTTATATTTCTGAGGATGGTTCAGAGATTGATTTTATTTCCCTGAATTTCAAAACACTATTTTGCTATCTTCTTGATTGGGTAAAGTATAAATAAGGAAATCAATTCATTACCCAGCAGGACAGTATTCGCTTTTTGTAACTGGCTGTTTAAATCTGATCTTAATTCACTGATTCTCCTTTTTCTTTTTTGACATTTTGCAGACTTTATATTGTACAGTAAATGTTTTGTCTACTGAGACTAAAAAGAACATTTGAAACCTGTGAAGATAAATACTAGTTATAAAAATTTGAATGATTAAGTCAGTGAACATTTAAATATATACATTTACATACAAATTTGAATCACTTCTTAATTTGTGTGTGTTTTTTAATGATACACAAAGCACAAAAACTTCATAGACCTTAATTTACCATGTCTATGCATGTTATAACCTTCCAATCAGTGAGCCTACAACACCTTAAAATTTTAAAAGTTAACCTTACAATTTATGTGAGTTTTTGTTGTTGTTGCCATGAGTATTATTTGTTCCAATTTTAGTATATGTGCTGCCAAAATGAGCACCTATGAATACTGTTGGTAGCTAATTGAAGATTTGAAGGCAGCTACATAAAAGGTCTTTACTTTGATTCTAGTGTTTCTTGTACCTTTCTTATTTATAGACATCATACACCACAATCAATATTCACCTGAGATCTTGGCAAAGAGGTCCAGATATCTTATTTTTTAAGAGGAGACATTAATACTGGCCCTACAGACTCACTTGACTTCTTTGAATTACAAATGAGTTCATATAAGCTATCACATTGAAAGCTATAGATCACTTTACTTATTTTAGTAGTAGAATAAGTGCTCTTTGGAATGTTAAAAACTGGGCAATTATAATAACTTCTTAAACTTGGCTCAACTGCACTGACATTTTGTAACAATCAGGCAGCATTTTAGTGAGGCACATTTAAATGAGAAAGTGTCAATGTACTGAATTATAAGAACTGAGTATGTTCTGCAGGCTAACCAATGAAGAAAAGCAGCACTAAGAATCTGATTGAGAATGTTCCAAGAGGAAGACATATCTAGCATCTCTATAAAAGAAACTGAGACAGTAAATTTGGGCCACATAGAATTTCAGAACCATGATAATTTCAAATGCATAGTATGGTGCTTGAAACCTAAGAATACATGTTACAAGCTAGACTTTGTGCATGCAATGATTATTTTATGCATGACTCATAATAACATAGCAATTAATTATTTTTATTTATATTAGGCACTGAGGGAAGAAAATTTCTACAATTGCCCACTAAAGATGGAGCCTATGAAAATGGTGTGACATTGCTTCACTGTGTCTATTACTAATTCTTATGAACAAAGGAAGATCATCTGTGTGGTCACAGACAGATTACCTGATCTGATCACCTGATCCCTTAAGCAGGGGAAGCTTTTTCTGGTCAGTGGCAGATGGAGAAGTCATAGAGATTTGAAGCAAGAAGATGATGCTCCATGTCTGTCTTTGAAGATGGAGGGGGTATGGAGAAAGGAATGATGATGTCCTGTAGTGTAGCAGCTGAGAGGAACAAAAAGGAGAAACAGAACTGCCACAAAATACTTTGTGGTTCTAAGCTACTAAGATAATTATGATTTGGGGATTGTTTGTTACAACAAAAAGTTAGCATTACTTTGGCTACTAAAGCTGCTTATTTCAAAGAAAGGGTGAGAGCAAAACCTTTCAATAAGTGTTCCTCACTGACAATTGCACTGATGCAATTATCAAAGGTCTTTGACCTGAGCCACGTGATCTGTCCCCAGTCCTCACTTGGAACAGCCTCCTGAAAGGGTGATGATTCCCACTGTCATTCTATGTGCTTAAAGGAATTTATTCTTCCTTCAGTCCCCATTCTATCTGCACTACACCACTCCCAAAATTTCTCTAACCCAGAAATAGCAACATACTTGTTACTGGTGCTAATATAATTTTTCATATTTTGATTTATCGAGTTCTATTCATTGCAATTTTAAAGCAAAAGAATTTTTTAAGCAAAAGAATTAAAATATTGAGTTAAAATTGCTGTCTTGAAATGGAACTCTTGTTGTAAGTTATGGTGAGAATTATTTTAATGTCTCCTCAAAACCCCTCTGTGTGTGCAATCCAAACCAAGACACTATGCCTTTGGATGCATCCACCCCTCCTCACATAACAAAAACCTGGGAAAAACATGTCCTTTAGATACATATACAAAGATACATTGAGAAAGGTTTGGAGTATTTGAAGTAGAAGGTAAGAAAGATTTATAAAAATATTACAATGATTATGAATAATTTGTACATATTTATCCTTATATGAGATGTAAGTGTCTTGACAGTGGCACAATTAACATTTTGTGCTGAATTCTTTGTTGGTGATGTACTTTAGAGTGTTAGTGACATCCTGGTCTCTACTCCCACCTGAGTGTGATAATTCAAAATATCTCCAGACAATTCCCAAATCACCACTATTGCACTATATTCACAATACTCCTAAATATTCATTTAGGAGTTTTGGTTTCTTTCTCTCAGCACACTTGATAAATATACAAAAAAAAATACATCATTTGAAAACAAACCTAGTAATTTAGCAAAGAATTTGGTCAATAAGAAATATGTGTAGACATTGCAATAACTTATGTTTGCAGTTCACATCTCTTTGAATATTTTCCAGAGAGCACAGACCTCAGTAATGATATTGCACAACAGTCTGTAAATTATTTCTGCGAGGGAAAATAAAGACATCAGTAAAGTGTGGTGTGTATGGAATCAGTAAACATCTGACAAAGTAGGTTGTAGCAAGCACAACTGGAAGCAATGAAGTCTCTCTTCTCAGAAATGGAATTCCACCAGCTATAGAGGGAAAAGCCCTCTCTTTGGATGTGTCTTTATAGACAGGGTTAACGTTAAGGCAGATATATCAACTTATAAGGAACAAAGCTTCCTCTGAACTGAACTCTCACCTGGAGCTTAGGAGCTCATTTAAACCAGCTATGCAAAACTACCTTGGAATTCTGAGCAGAAAAGGACCTCAGAGACCCTACTGTCATGTGCAAGTTAGGGTCTGACAGATTCCCATAGGCGGTCATAGAGAAGAGAGAGAACTTCATCACTGTAATTTTTGTTTACTTGTTTTTTAGAAAGTAGATTCTGAGAGGCTGGGTGCAGTGGCTCAAGGCAGAGATCATGAGGATCACCCAGGCAAAAAGTTCAGGACACTCCATCTCAACCAAGGCTGAGCTAGGTGGTGTGCCCCGGTCATCCCCAGCCATGTGAAAAGCACAAATAGGAGGATCACAGTCCAGGCTGTCACAGGCATAAAGAGAGACCCTATCTCAAAAATAACAACCTAAACAGGCTTGGCAAAGTAGCTGAAGTGGTAAGAGCATTTGCCTAGCAAGTACAAGGCCCTGAAGTCAACTCTCAATAAAGCTAAAAAAAGGATGCATGTATGGATTAAAACTAATTTTTAATACTTTTAGTTATCTAAAATTAAATATAAGATTCTAACTATAGGCTGAATAATGACTTTACAGTTCTCTCATAATAGAGATATATATACACATACATCTAATATATATATATGTATTTACATACATAATATATGTATGCAAACATATGTATGTATGTATACATATGTATGTGTTTATGTATGTATAATTTGTTGGTCAAGAGAAAAGTCTCTTTGATGGTTCACTTACTTCGGATTTTCACTTTTTGTGTAGTCTCACACTGTTTTTAAGCCACATTGCCCACTCTTCACTCATAACCTTTAATAGTGAACACATCTGAAAACTGGAACACACTGACTGATAACATTCATTGAGTTTTGAAAGTGATGAACTGGAAAAGGTGAAAATAACTGTCCTTAAAACTAAAAATGGAATGTAGAAGTTAAAAGTGCATAATTAAAAAATAAAAAATAGAAAGGATAAAATTTAGACAAAAGTGTTTCTATTGGATACTATGGTATATTGTAAAGACTTTATGTTGTCCTTTTTCAGTGTAGAGATCTCTAACATCTTTGGTTAGGTTTATGCCTAGCTGTTTTATGTTTTTTCAGTCTGCAGTATCTCCTTAGTGGGCAGCCTTCTCTTGGGGTCTCAATCCCAAATTCCACTCAGAGTAGAGAAAACACACTATAGTACTAACAGCAACAACTCAAAAGCAAGCCAGATATTTAGATACAGTAGAAGTAAAACTGCAAATAACTATACCCCTAGTAAGGTCAGAAGACAACTAAGATACTTAAAGGATACACTAGGAATTTAACAATTAGCAAATGCAAAAATATTAATGATTGAGTAAGTGAAAGGGGGTGAAGAATAGAAAAAAGAAAGAAGCAACAAGATAGGAAAGAGGAAAAGTATATGGGGTGAAAGTATGAGAAATAACAGTAGAGAAAAGAAAGTAAAATAGATACAGAACAAAGCAAAACAATTATAAAGTCAACACTTGGTCCTTGGATAATGGAGATTCTTTGCTTTTCCCCCAAACTTCCAGTGTTGCAGTTTGTTTGATGAGTAGAGTGATGATAGTGTGCAGTTTTCTGAGTTTCAAACAGGTCAGATCAGAAAGGGCTGAGCCCTCCCTCTTTCCTGCCAAGACAGGTACTACTATGACCACGGATGGGTGGAATTCCTACCAACGTTCTTCATATGCAGGCCTAATGATGTGAGGAGAGCAGGAATCACTCTCAAGCTGCTCCTGCCAGCTAAGCCCATGGCCCACAGATTGGATGCCCTTATACCAGAAATGCACTCCCAATATGCATGTGGTCATTGGAAATGCACGAGCAGAGGCTGTGTTTCTACCAAATGTCTCCAAGAACATAAAAACATAATCCATCCTGGAAGGGAGGGTCACAATCTAAGCATGGAGTAAGCCTTCGTGTCCTGGCCATACCAGTCTTTTCTAGTTCCCCCCGCCACACCCACCATGCCCACTCATATTCACACACAGCTGATCTCCTCTTTCCAAGTGTTGGGCCACCATTCTCAAATGTAAGTGACCTTCTCCTCCCCCATACTTCCCACCATATAGATCTATATTCCTAGGCCATCAACCACATTTGACATAGTTTATTGGGCCCACTCTGATTCTGACAATGGT